TTACAATTTGTATATATTATAATGAAGAACTGCCCTTTGTTCCTAAACAGCTTTTATGTAAAAAAAATTACCATTTCCTCGAAGTGAAAAGGGTTTCGGACTAGCTGCGGTTCAATTTATTCAGTTCCAAATTGGTTGTAATCAACACTCGCGGTTCAATTGTCCTCCGTCCTCCGGGCTTCTATTCAAAAGAGAATTATCTTCTCCGGCTGGGTCATTTCCATACAGTTTGGTGGCGGTGGTAATAGCCAAACCGACCTAAATGCAGAATCCTGCTGATTTCAACCTATTTCTCCTTAAGTTAGAAAAATAACCAGAAAATCCTCTTATGAGTGATTAAGTATCTCGAATTTTGATTCGATCAATTGATAGCGCTTTCCATTACGGATATTCAGCATCATTGCCGTATAACTAATCACTTGTTTTGAATTATTCATCATGATTTTTCCTTAGCTCATACCAACCCCATTATCTGTCGATCTTTATCAAGGTTTGGAAAAACAATCGAGCTAAACAATTAATTGTAAAATTAACATTTTTATGCGAGACTTGTTTAAACAAAGCCGTCCGTTTTGAAATATTTCAAACTAAAGAGAACAGCAAGCCAGATGGCGGCAGCGAAGAAAGGGTTTCATGCCTGGGATACCCATTGTTTATGGTCAAGATAACCTCCGAGCACGGTGATGAATGGGAGAAGGATCGCGCTTGTAAAAAAAAAACAGCTGAAAACGCGTAAATTTGCCTTGATTTTGTACAAAAGGACATCCGTTTAAACTACAGGCAGACGACTTGAAAAATTATATCAAACGAATATTTTTCCCATCTCGGTTATAGAAAAAGGCGAATATGGATATTTTTAGGCCGTTGCCTGAATATATGAATTATAAGTTCATTTTTTACATCAAGTTATCAAATGTTATAAAATGTTTTGAAATGAGTGGAAAACATTGAATAACGTAAGTAAACACGTACAAAAACTAAGCAAAATATGGTAAAAAAAACGCGCTATTACAATCCTTTTTGATTTCCCTTTTTTCATAAGGCTAGACCAATGGGACAATATCCGTCAATAACTTTTCTCTTTGAAACAATAAACCTTAAAACGACAACATATCATAACAAAATTAACATACAAGAAATTTAAAAAAATCTTTACACTGAAAATATACCGTAAGAGTTAAAGAAGTAGAGACGGTTTTTCGGAGTAAATAATGCATTTTTAATTTTTTATCATTTTCTTCTGCACAAAATGTAACTCCTCTCACAAGATTTCGAGCTTTAGAAGTGCTTCATATAATTTTTAGACTGTTGCAAATCATGTGCCCTGGTGTATGTTGCCTTGATTAACTTCAACTCGCCATACCTTATGCTGTTTGAGAACACTCGACTTTTATGTATATTAGGTGTTAAAAAATTACCTTCCCAATTAAAGCGACGTTTTTGAACTTCAGACTGCAAAAGGAATGGGCATGTAACGTTTTTATGGAGCAAATTGTGCAGCAAGAGGAAAAATTCTAGCACAATCACAATTTATCTTGAAAAGTTGTATTTTTCACCTTTTTCATGTTAAAACGATTTTTTTTCTTTATGGATAAAAGACACTTTTATTTACAATTATTCAGAAATCGTGAGATGCGGTCTGGTGTGATGTAGGTTTCAGAAAAACACTTTCTTTATCGTGCCAACGTTTCAATATTTATTGAGATCATCTTCAGGGCCTGGGATTTACAAACATTGTTTACATTTAATGTTTGTAGTTAACATCACACCAGACCGCATCTCATGATTTCTGAATAATTATCGATTAACGGTCACTAATCACCACACATTTATTTACAATAATTTACAAATACAACGACACCAAAAAAAATTAGGTACATAGACTTGGACAAAATCCGTCTGTCGGAGGTTGTTTCAGAAAAAAAAGCTAAAATTTGGCTATTTCTAAAAAAAATAATAAAAATTATGAAATAAATTAAAAAATTAATATGAAAATTAACAACTCACGTTTTGAAAAAATTGGAAAATGTACAGGTCATAAGAAATAACCTACTAATCTTAATATACAGAAAACAATTACTAAAATGACGATCATTGAAGGAAATAAAATCCCTTAACACGTAAACCGTAAATTTGGATTAAAAAAATAGCAAGGTATCTAAAATTGAACATAACAATTGAATTGCTTTACTAGTTAAGGTTAAAAATACAAGAAGTTAACATAATTTTTGGATTACTCAAACACTTACTGGGACCAAAGCCAACACAAAGCATGCATTTCAAACATGGCAAAAAGGATGGAAAATTTAAAAGGTTGTAGGCTGTGATGAGGGGTTATATATAAATATATATATATAGGCAGGGTGGGCGACCAAGACCCGAGGGGTTAAATGCCTGGGTAGACTCGTACCCAATCCCTAAAAGGTCCGGAACTTGGCCGGTTCACGTGTCGTGCAAAAACATCTTCGATCTGTTCACAAACCCCAAGATTTTGGACCATTTAATCTCGGGGAGTGATTTGGTGATGTCCTCTCCTTCAAAGAGTTCAAATGTAGACCTAGCATATCTATCACACTCTGCGAGGTAGTGCCTTGCCGTTTCTTCTTTTATTTCACATTCTTCTTTTATTTCACAAAGACAGCAAAACGGGTCTGGTAGAATACCCATTACGAAGAGGTGTCTTCTCAGTGGGCAATGGCCCGTCAGGATACCTATCCCTTCCTTGAGTTAGAGAATAGCCAATCATGATGAGGGGTTGGGGTCCGAGCGGATCGAATCACGATAGCTCAAGTGGTAGAGCAGAGGCGTGTTGAGCAAAAGGTCGTGGGTTCGAATACCGCTCGTGGCACTAACTTCTTCATTTCAACCAAAACCTTACATAAACAGATTAATTAATTGAAAGAAGTAATTTGGTCAATAGACCACTAAATATAATGGATTTACGAAGCGTATATAATGAACCTCCTAAAAACCAATCATCAAGCCGACTTGAACTTAATCTAACTGTGGGGCATGCCAAAATCCTCCTCCATCCAAGGAATCCAATCCTGTTAGTCCAATATTCTCCAACGTATCCTCCCTTCTACGTCACCAGAAGAATGACCCATAAGGGCCTTAAAATCCCATTCTTGTAGTATCTGAACACGCTTCCTCAATTTTCACTCTAAACTCTCCCTTCACTCTTATAATCCTCCACGCCCTCTAAAACGACGATGGCTTCGTGACCTACTATCCCCGAAATAAAACTAAATACAAGCACTGACTGATATCTCCCCCCGTTGCCTCCTGGTCAGATAAATCTGTCATATTTATATATAATTAACTATTCTTGGTTCAATATATTTTTATTTTGTACAGATAATAAATAAATGTAAAAAAAGTACCTATCTATGATTCTTGTGGTGTCGAACATGTTGGATGAATTCTCTTGCGTTGTTTGTGCCCTTCAATTAAGTAATTAAAAAGATATTTGGCTAGAAGAAACAGCCCAGAAGGAGAGAAAGAATTTCTCCCAATATTGAACACTTTACTAAAAAGTGATTAATATATTCGGTCGCACCTGAATTGCAGAAAGAGCAAATAGCAGAATTTCTTAGAAACCACGTAGCCGAAATCAAATTTCGTAACTCGCACCGAATTTTAAATAAAAAACATAGATCTTTTAGGGAGTAAAAGAAAAAGAACTGGATGCGTTACTAGTTGTGGCTTTCATAGGGTTGTGATAAGTGGACACCCAGGCGTACACCACAAATTTAAACGCTTCCCACCACCTAATCACGTTTTCCTGGGATTCTATTGATTCTGGGATCAACTGCTTCAGAGTGAGCTCAGCTGTGGCTGCCCAGTTATCAGTCCAAAACACTCGAGCGTCCCACAAAGGAGCATTCTTAGTCCCATACTGGGTTCCATTTATACTGTTGGCTCTCCTCTAAATCCCAGCACCATCATAACCTACGCGGGTGAATTCGTTCCACTATCCACTAACCTCAAACTCCCAAGCAGACCTTGAGTTTATTATGATACTATAGGTGCTACAAGTGAAGGACAAATCTGAATGGTGAAATATATGCCCAATGAATATTTGAATTGAAAAATAGTCTTGGCCGCATTTCACAAAACCTTTTCAACTACCGTAAATCAGAAAAGCACATCAGAAATCTTGCATCTAGACGAATCCCCTCTAACCCTTCTCACCGACTAAAGAGACAATGGCCACGTGATCTCCAAGGTGAAAATGATAATGACAAAAATATCAATTATACAACAATATTTTAGTATCATTGGAGCAGAAAATAGCAATGAGTATTTACTTCAGTTTTATTTTTTAATTTTGTATATAATACCTTGCTCATGTAACCTACTTGAAGGTGTAATGAACTATAACTTTTTTATATATACTCCTAGACAACAGACTGACACGGAATCGCCAGGCAACAGAGATAATTACCTAACGGAAGACATGGACTCATAAGACCAAAATCTCTTTTGACCGTCAAAATTTAAATAAACATACATAACACTTATTGTGACCACTTTAGATGTACGGAGTGGAATTGGAATGGCAATATCCGGCTCAATCAAATATTTAAAAAAAAAGATTCGTGCTTGTCAAACTCCATATTAGGAGTTAATGTCAATAATCACAACAAATTGACCATTTCTTTTGTTAACGAACAGATGCGATCCTGCTTCCAAAAGTTCCAAACCATGCTTTCGTGCATAATCTATACACCTTTCCATCCCGAGAACCCACCAACTCTCTTTAACCGACGATGGCTTTTAGACCTTCTCGCTCTTTAATCCTTCATATTGGGTACCAACGTTGTCTGATTTCTCTTAACCCATCTCCTCCGAATGGCATGTGTAAATATTTTGATACGCATAGACAAGAAATAAATTATTTATTTTTAAAAAATCTGTCAAACCAGCATTCGATTAATTTATGTACAGATATTGTTTTCTCAATAAAAACACAACTAAACATATATTGTTTGTTTCAGATAATGAAGTTCTTTCGATCAGGATCCTTGAGTAAAATGGAAGACCTAAAAATATTAAACATAACGTGAGCAATCAAATTTCTACCACTTGATATGTTGCATTTATAATAAAACTAAAATATTCACAATTAAGTATTAAGAAACTGTCTCTTTATAATAACCCTAGTTAAACTTAAATTTATTTGTAACCAATCTCACTGATAAAATGTTTTCATTGAAATCGGACTGTATATGTCTAGATTGACGTACTCAAACATATAGGATTTTTTTTAAATGAACTCTCCTTTCAAATATTGAGAAAAAAATACATAAAAAATACATTTTTTATTTCTTAAAAAAATTAAAACTGAACTACATTTTACACAAGTTTGTCAGGCTCATTCAATTATATGAAAAATGGCCAAAATCATTTAAAAATTGTATTAATGCTTTAATTGCATTAATTTATTGCACCCGGACTACGATAAGAGCTTCACAGCTTTTCCGGCTAGCTTTTTTAAATATACAGAGACCTAATAAACCTGCCTTGAGAGGAATAGCTGTGGGTCTTTCGAATCATCATTTAACTCTCCCACAAGTTTTCAAAAAGTAAAGTTCACGGTTCTAAATATTTCACACAGGTTCCTCCCTCATTCGCCCTAATAAATACATTCAGACAAAGTAGAACCTATAACCGCCAAGAGCAAATCATCCGCATATTTTTAATGACCTTCAGTGTAAACTATTGTAATAACTTAACTTGATCAAGTCAAATAGCACATTCATAATAATGTTGCCTGAACAAGGAAAAGTGTTACACCCGAAAAATATCCCATGAAAGCTGTAAAGTAGAAAATTTCAAAAATCGGGTGGCAAGGAATCTCAGTAACAATTGCCACTTTATTTTTCGCCTCAAAAAGATATCTTAATTAATACTAATGGGTTGTTAGTAATCCAATGCTTAATTATTGATATTACTTACAACTTCTTTAATCGCGTAAGAATGTATTACATTGTATTACATGTTTATATTTCGTGTAAATTCGTTTAAAATTCATTTTAAATTTAAAACCAACGTTGAATAATTTTGCAGTGCCTATCTAAATCTTTTAACCTACAACTTAAGCTAAAAATTACTGCTTCAATTTTTCAAAGATTGACTAGTTTTTAATAACACCGTGAGATACACTAGCAAGCCGATCCCTTATGAAACATCTGAAAAACATGGACTGATTACTATTTTTTTTTAAGTGATTGTCAATTTATTTTTAGATAATTATATTTAACGTGTAACAGGATTATGAAAAAACTAGTTAAATTTATCTGACCAATATCTATTATTGAGTAATTGACTCAGAAGTAATATAGAATTTTTACACTTTAGAAGTACATAGTTATAGTAAAATGTTAATCGTAAAAATGAAGTTATTGTAAAAGCGAGATTTGTTTGTATTAAACTGTATTAAAATTGATATTTAAGCTTCTTGGATAAAGACCAGAGGGGAGTTAATCTTTTAATCTTAGGGCTTTTCAGAGGGATCAAAAGAGTTATATAATTTATTATACCATATCGACTTTCATTATTAATAGCTTGAAACTTTATTGAAGTAATAATCGTAAGGGAAGATAAGAAATGTCCTTTTATAGGAAATGAAAAGTCTTTTTTATCCTGAAGGCAGATACTTGGCACATTATTCTAAGTAGGGTCTTTTTTTCTGTACAAATAAATAATAATCTAATCTGCATAGAGGTTACTTAATTGATTATTAAGCCTTTTTTTCTGTACAAATAACCAACTTTGTATAAAAATCAGAAATTTTTTTCTAATTTGTTTAAATTTTCTTAAAACCAACTCTCTTTGCTCAAACGATCTACTTTTATTTAAGGTGTTTTGCAGGAAAAAAAGGTGATATAAAAATAATTCCCAATTGAGAAATCCGAATATTTTAAAAACTAATAAATCACTAAACAAAAACATAACATTAAAAGCCTTTTCAGGCTTGAAATGTTGAATTTATTCTATACCTTAACATTATTCTTAGGTGACACACTAATCTCCCAAGGTGTTTTAGTTTTTTCTAACCGTTTTTCTCTTGCAGTGAAAAGGACGACGTCGTTTTTCACTTTTTCGGTAGCAGCCACGATAAGAACAGGGTGAGAGAACTCATAGTCAAGCTGCTCGCGAAAGGGAGGCTCGGCGAGATAAATCTACTTCAAAAAGAAAACAGCTTTCGACAAGAGCCTGCTCTACATTTAAAGGTAAGCGCTTTTTTGAATAATTAAGCCAGTTTAAAAAGATCTTAACCAAATCTATTATTGACACATTCTTATAAAATTTATACTTTATTGTTTGTTATGAAAATGAAGTTTATACATAAATCCATTATATTTTGGCTGAAATGAAAAAGCTAGTGTCACGAGCGGGATTTGAACCCACGATCTTAGCATTAATACGAAGCTGCTGTACCACTTGAGGTATCGTCACTTCCATCCATTCGAACACCAACTTTTCATCTCAACCTACCTCTCGAATTTTACCTCATTTTTGCAATTTTTCAAATGTCGTGTAATCATGCCAGTTTAAAAAGATCTTAACCAAATATGCTATGTACATTGACATTATAAATCGAAATTCTATCATCTTATAAAAAGTAAACTTTATTGTTTGTTATGAAAATGAAGTTTATACAGAAATCCATTATATTTCGTGGTCCGATTGACCAAATAACATCTTTCAATTAATTAATCTTTATGTAAAATAGTGGTTGAAATGAAAAAGCTAGTGTCAGGACAGCTCAACTGCAGCGGCGTATTTAGCCGAAGGTCGTGGGTTCGAATCCCGCTCGTGACACTAGCTTTTTCATTTCGCCCAATACCTTACACAAAGATTAGTTCTACAGAAATTTAAAGAAATCGTCAATTTATTTTTTAACCTTAAGCAACTTTCATGCCAGTCGGTAGTAGAGGTTTCGATACTATTACAAATTATCAAATGAATGGTATCCATGCTTTTGAAGGTTAAAAAAATCTCATCTATATTTTCAAAGAATGATAATTCGCATGTCTCAAAAATAGACAACAATGCGTGAAAAGTATTAAAAAATAACACTGATCATTTCAATTCGACCAGTGGTCAATTTTTACGTTTATAAGCTCAATATTTAAATATGAAAAAAATGCCGAAATAAAGATCTTTGAACCCACTGTTAGGATATTGAAATTCATCCCTTAAAAAATCAAAAGAATAAATAAAATGAAATAAGTAGACTTTGTTAATTTCATAAAAGTTACACAAATATGGAATTACAAAAGCTATGCTTAGTAGAAAATAATTTAAAATAACTAAACTTTTTTACTATTTTTACCCTTCGTGGCGCTATCATTTTCATCTTAACCAATACCTTAGATAAAAAATGATGATTAAATTAATTAATTTAATTTATAAGGTCAATTATAATTTCTAAATGCAAATATGGATTAATATTTATTTTCTAGGTCAACCTACAACCTCTGGTATCCCCTCCCTCATTTCATTCGTCACTCAACCCTTTCCAACTTTTAAGTCCCGTCTTTTTTTGTTACCTCCTGTCCATCCAATTTAACATTGAGGATGGGTTATTTTCTGTTGTTCCTGTACGTTTAATTTCTGTTATTGTAATTCTTCCCCCTTTTATTTCATTTAATACATTTCATTTATTTTTATGCCCGTACATTTAAATTTCTATTTATATATTTTGTATTTTTTGTACCCAAGCGTTAGAATAATTATTCGCCGTCTTCTTTCAAAATAAAATGAAAATAAAGATCTGCTCTTTTCCATTTCGGAGATTTGACTTTTATCATATATTGAAATTCTATATGCAGTAGTCTTCTATATGTTTCTCTTTATGTATTTAGCTTGGTCCCTGCCAAGCGATGTATCTATAATATTAAAGTACGAAAGAATGACGTCGATATTTCAAACATATCAAAGCATTTGCACTAATCCTTCCAAAATGTAAAAATTATGCCACTTATGGGCATATATACATAACAGTCAATGATCTTATGCGTGTTCAATTTAGACCCAAAATCTACGGAACCGGCCTCGCTAAAAATTTCACACTTTTTTCTTATGAAAGCCAGGAGTGTTTATGCTATAGACCAAGAATATATGGCTTTCATTTTCCATCTTTTCTTTCCAGACAGGGAGCGACTAAATACAATAATTAATATCTAACTTTCAAATAATATATTAATTATGAAATATATATATTGGTGGTTGGTATTGAGAGCAAATCTTAAACGATAGTCCACATAGAATTGCATTATTATCAGATGTAGAACTAGACAATGTCAATAATTACATTACCAATGTTTGTATTACGATTAATTTCATTCAAACAAGTCAATTATTTCAGCTTGATTTAATTGCAATCAGGCGTTTTGTTTGATCAGGCTGTCCATAATTAAATTAATAATCGCATTGTCAAAATCCATGGGTCGGATTTACTTTAAAATATCAACTTAGGGTTAACTCGACGTCGGAAACATGAGCAATTTGTCTCTGGGTCTTCAATTTGTCTCTCTAGTAACACGCTAAAAGGTACTTAACGCTAAAAGCTGTACGTTGATCGTTTCCCGGCGGATTAGCACCAAAGAAAGATTTGAACGTATAAGTAAACAAAGCACAAATTGAAATGAATATGTTTTGATACCATTGCTATCGCAGCATATCCTGTAGACTATTATAACAGCTATGCGTTTTTATGAATTCAACCGTACGTTTACAATTTTAAGGCGGCTCCAGACATGCGGTATTCGCCGGATGCCGCGCAAATTTTCGCCGGATCCAGACAGGACGCACGGCTATTCACGAATATTCGTGAAGTAAACGCACTGAAGCCAATCCACACATTCGGGAATGAACTATAACTGTACATACCTTTAACCACTGTCAACTTTCAATTAATTAATATTTATGAAAGGTATTGGTTGAGATGAAAAAGTCAGTGTCACGAGCGGGATTTGAACCCACGACCTTCGGATAAATACGCCGCTGCTTTACCACTTGAGCTATCGTGACCTCAATCCGCTCGGACACTAACCTCCCATCTCAACCTCACCTCTCGAATTTTCCCTCCTTTTTGCAATTTTTTCAAATGCCTTGTAATCTATTTGATTCTCGGCGACAAATGAAATGGCCACGGAGAACTTTCGTAAAGATATACTTCAGTTTACTTATTCAATCCATTACAGTTCGTGGTCCGATTGATCAATTAATATTTTTCAATTAATTAATATTTATGAAAGGTATTGGTTGAGATAAAAAAGTCAGTGTCACGAGCGGGATTCGAACCCACGACCTTCGGCTAAACAAGCCGCTACTCCACCACTTGAGCTATCGTGACAGTGTGTGGAAAGCTTCTCTTATAAATCATAAATTGTTTTATAAATAAAGTTTATAAACAATGTAATTAAATGTATTTTTTCAATTAATTTGTTGCCACTGCACAAAAAATAACCGCAGCTGCAGCAATGACAGTTTCACTGATGTCTATAACGATCTGTAGTAAGTTCAGGACTCCCACAGCATTTGGAAAATAAGTATTACCTCTTTCCGCAACAACTAGAAGGTTATACAAAACCGGCATGTGTGTATACGTAGGCATGCTTTTTGGCGATGCAAAGACGAGCAAATCGGGATTGGCCGCATTTCCGGAATATTCGACGGCAATCGGCATTCGGCGAATACCCGCATATCTGGAGCCGCCTTTAGGTCATTCTTTCCCAATCTTGCTCAAGGTCCTGAGAAGGACATGAGGATCTTTTAAGACTGCGCCTAGCCCTAGGGCCATATCGGTCCCCCGTGCAAGCAAGGGATCGTTTTTCAAGAAGGGAGGCGACACGCTTCCGTCTACGGTGGGGTGTGCAATACCGTAGATTTTCACGTAGAGCCTTGAAAAAGGCTCTTCCCAGCTTGTCCCTTCTGCAGGGTTGGGTCGACAGACCGCCCGACCAGCGTCGCAGCCGAAGCTACTCCCGCTCGATAAAAAAGGCAGCTCTATCGAAACCCCGAGTGGAGGCGCACCCCTAGCGTAGGCACTTCCGACAGACGGGCCGGCACCGGTTTTTATTTAAATGGAATGCTAACCACCGTCCAGGAGGCACTGTGTACGCCGTGGGCTACTCTCAAGGAGCCTCACCACGAACCACTACGAGTCTGACTTCAATTGCAAGCAGTAGACTTGGAACATGCTTGCGCCCGTAGTTCAGTAATTCTCGCATATAAGACTCGCATGCTGCTGTCCGCGAAGTGTAACTGATCTCACACCCGATGGTTAATTGTAGCAAATCACTCTACAGAAATTCGCCAAACCGTCTACTGATTTAGAATGCTTGCCAGGGCAATCAAGGCTTTAGGTCAAGGTACGGTGAGTCACCGATACATCGACACAGTACTAAAGATTGCAATTAGTTGATGGAATGAACGAACAAACGAGTTATCATCCCGCAGACCCTATAAAGATGGTGGTTGTTTCCAGGTCACGTATTGCTTGGCCTAGCTGTTCTGGTCGGTCAGACGAGTTGTGTTATGGAACACTAATTAAATATTGTAACATTACGTTGTACTCAACGTAAATCATTATTATCAAGTCAGACATCGTTGCCCTTCTTCTTTCTTTTTTGTCAAAACTGAAAAACGCTGTTGTATCTATCCTAATTTTGGAATAAAATGCAACCTTTCCTCGAAATTTCTTGATACATTTTCTGATGGCGGATGTACATTCCTCACATCCATCCCTCATGGCTGCATCTAAAATCCAAACCATCGAAACAAAATCCAACGATTGATCAAAAGATGTGGTGAAGATGAATTCATCAGGGTTACAAATAGTTGTATCAAAATCCTTTTCACAAACACATAAATGGTACAAAATCGAAACATATTTCTACCTGACATGAAACATTAAGTCTTAACAGAACGGAACGTAACATACGATCCAAACTTGCAATAATATTTTCCCTTTCCTTAAAAAACATTTTTAATTTAACGGCAATTGAATTGCAAAACAAAGACACATAATTTACTCTTAAGGTAATAGGTTGCCGAGGAACCTCAAGCTCAGTAACAAAGGTAATGCGGCACCACATCCTCGGTTCGTTCAATCTCAGATTCGCTCATTGCACTGCATTGAATTTGCTAATGCGCCCACAGGTTCGGTTATTCTACTGCCACCGATTCGGTTACTGAGCTTTAACCAGGCCAGGTTATTGCGGTTGCAACGGGCCGTTTTCAGTGCTGTCAAAGCCACGCTTAATGAACTTTCACCTCCTAGTTGTTCTGTCGTCCAGGCTACGTTTTATCAACGTCACATAAAATATTTAATTATTCATAATTGCGCATCGAGACTAAGTTAAACTCTAATCAGTTATTTTCATAGGTTTTCCTTTATATAAAATTAATTACAATAGTAGGATTGCTGAATGGCCCAGGCCTCTTATCGAACAAAAACCTTCAATCTGCACTTCTCTTCTCTCTCTCTCTCTCTCTCTCTCTCTCTCTCTCTCTCTCTCTCTCTCTCTCTCTCTCTCTCTCTCTCTCTTTCTCTCTCTCTCTCTCTCATCCTTTTTCTATTTCTATTTATTTCACTTTTCTCATTCTTTATTTCTCAATCATATTCTTTGTTTCTCTCTTTCTCTCACGTTTTCTCTAACTTCCTTTATCTCTATCTCTTTTTCTTAGTCTTTTTAACTCTCTTTATCACTCTGTCTATTGAAGTAAAGTCCACGAAACCTAACCTTGCATAGTTAAATAAAACGTTTAATCAATAAATCTTTTTATATCACAGTCTCTCTTTTTATTTATTTCTGTCTTTTTCCTTTTCACATTTTCTCCCAAACGCAGTCTTTCAGTTTCTTTTCTTTTTTTTTGTTGATATTTCTCTCTTTCACGCTCTCTTTATTTCTCTCCCTCTCTATCTATCTATCTTTCTTTCTTTGTATCTATCTATCTATCTATCTACCTTCTTATCTATCTACCTATCTATCTATTCATCTATCTTTCTATCTATCTATCTCTATCTCTCTTCCCTATTTCTATCATTTGTGTGCTCAGCTTTTATCCCTTACTCTCTCTCTCTCTCTCTCTCTCTCTCTCCCCTCTCTTTCTCTTTTTCTATTTTTCTCGTTGCCATTATTTTCCTCTTTCTCCCCTTTTTATCTTTCTTTCGCGATATCTTTCGTTTTGTCGTTATATTTTTTTATTATATATTCTCTCTCCTTTCTTTTCATCTCTTTCCGGTTTAACACTTTTTTATTTTTTATGTCTTTCTCTCTTTTTCGTTCTCCCTCCCTTCTTCTCCCACCCTTTCTCCGTCTGTCTCTCTCTGTCTCTCTCTCTTTCTCTGTCTCTCTCTCTCTCTCTCTCTCTCTCTCTCTCTCTTTTTCTGTCTCTCTCTCTCTCTCTCTCTTTTTCAGTTCTTTTATCTTTCGTTTTCTTTTCCTCCCTCTCTATCCCTCCTACATCACCTCCCTGTTCAATAGCCATAATTTCTAGATGTCACATGACACAAGGAAACATACAATCATAATGGTAGATGAACTACAAAAGAGTAAAACTGTCCAAACACAGCTCGTATTTATTGTCAATTGCGGCTATTCACCAAAATGTTATAGATTTGAGGACGTAAGATTCGGGTTAAGAATTGTCTCATAGTCTAAAGAATGAGAAGAGAGTAGGTTATAAGCTGAAACGGATCTGACAGACTAACCCAGCTAAGATAGCCCGATCAAAATACTCGTGACGACTAACTTTCAAATTTATTATCTGTTATTATTCATATAAAGAAGAAGGGCAACTGTCGACCTTACTGAGATAAAAGTTCCCGGCTGGGGAACGGTCCTAGTAATACCGATTAAAGCTTAACGTGTTTTCGTTTAGAAACTTCCAGCAATCAGAACGTCGGAAGCTGACCATGGCATTAGATAAATTAAAAAGTTCACGGTCGCAATCAAAGGATTCGTCGTAACGAACTTACAGCTTCACCGGTTTTATTGAATGAAAACGATCCGTTTCTTAACTGAGAAACTTGTTATAAGTTGGTCTGCTTTGACGACCGATCACGCTTCGAACAAAGGCTCCTGTCTATGATGAAACGTCAAAACATGGCTTTCTGACTAACAAAAAGTTCATCACGACTGTCTGAACTTTAATAACAGCCGGCCAAATTCGAACAACAGTTACTCGTTATTAAAAATAACAAAGAGTACAAAAAATAGGCAGTACGTCATTCTAAATTCTAACTTTTGAGCTATATGTTATTTAAACAAGCTTTGTAAACATAAAATTTAATTTAGTTTGTATTGTATATTGTACTTAAATGTCTAACCAAATACATTTGTTACAATTAACATTATTTTTTATAATGTTTGGGATTTGCTCATCATTCGACAACGAAATGTCATGTTAACTTGACACTTTTCCGTTAATTAAACGGATGTCGCGCTGTGATACTCAAGAAATATTATTTTCACTTTCAGTCAAGAACGCTGAATCCGCAAAAATAGAACTAATTAATGGGCACACTATTCGGATTCCAGGTTGCCTAGCCCAGGCGGTGCCACCTCCAACTCATAGGACTCTCCCCACAAAAAAAAATAGTCCTTGCTGTTTCGGTTTATCAGGTGAATCACGGATTCATTTTTAGGTCAGATGCATTTATACATTAGGAAAATTTGGTTGACAATTTACTATGACTTATTGAGGTTTGCGGTATGATGAACACGTAGTTTAGTTGTTTCCATTCTATATTTTTGGCTATCCTAGCCTTCTGTTTTGATCTGTTTGATACGTTTCGGTTTCTCTAATAGATGTCTTCTAGTTGCATGATGATGAAACTGTAGTTTCGCCTTACCCGATCATTTTGTGTTGTATATCTTTGCTGTACTGATCATGAGATTTTTCTCCTCCATCTTGGTAGAAAATGGTGAAATGAATGACGTTTCGCTTTCTGTCTATCGTGACAGATGACGGTGTAGATGGATGACATAATTGCAAGGTGGCTTATTGAGATCTCCGGGTTATGAAACTAGTTTGGTCGTTTCTGATCATTTTGCAATATCTTGCTGGTTTTGGTTGGTCTGGCGCTTTTCATTTTTTCAAACAAGCATGATTTTACTGTGAGATGAATACTTGAGGATTGTGAGGTGACAAACAAGTACCTTAGCCTCTTTGAACATCCAGTTCGGCCTATCCTCGTCATTGTCACTTGTAAGCCCTTAATTTAAAAACGCACGAAGAAAAATATAACCAACAAGTAAATATTATTTTTTAAATGAAATCTCTTCCTGAATCAGAAAAATTTAATCTTTCATTACATTATAATTATCTACTAAAATAATGCTTATTTTTATTTTATATTTAATTTGTATTTATTATTTCAGTCTATAATGTCCACTGTGAAAGGGATAATCCGAGAAGGTGATGAATTGATGTTGTCCTGTATTGCTCAAGGGTCGTCTTACATGACTTTCAACTGGTACAAGGACGGTGACCGAATTGACGTGACGAGATCGTCAGGGTGAGAAATCTTTTATATTTCATATGTTAACAGCTTCAATTTTTATATCGCATGCTTTATAAATTATTCATGAATTTCCATGCATTTATGTTTTAAAAATGATATTGGATATTTTTGTTTATCTTGTAACATGGTAAGATTGGATCCGTGATACTTAATAGTTGTGGGAGATGTTGTGACTTTTTAATGATTGTTAGTATCATTTTCAATCCCTGGAAGATCGCCGGGCTGAAATTAGTTTGCAAATTACATGCAATTTCTGAATACTTTGAATTGCAATTCAAACAGTATTGAAAGTAGAATTTCCATTTATAACCTAATAAATGAAATATTTGTAAAACAAATATAAAATTACAAAGGATTAATAAAATAATAATAAAACAATAATTAATAAAACAAATTTTAATTTCTAAAAATGTTAAGTAAGGTAAATAGGAATCCGTTAAGGAAGAGGCAATATTTGCTACCGTAAAATAATTGTAATAAATTTAATTAACCAACTGTAAAATTGTAACTGTATACAAATGTAAATTATGCCAAACAATCGCGCATAACAAAAGAAATAAAAATGGGCTGAGACGGCGCCGAAGACCTACACTTCCGCATCACTCATAAGTCGTGAGATTTGGTCTAACCGGTTTTTATCTAAGTTTTAAATAGTGATATAATGATAATATTAATTTATTAAATAAGAAAATACAATATGTTTTAATTTAAGAATGTGTAATAATTACTTAATATTGAAATTCTATCAGGAAAGTAAACGCTTAAAATAAAAGAGTGACTTAGAGAAAAATTTTTGGTCTGACACTTCGTGTTACATTTGTTTGTTATATACAGGATGGAACATCCAACCAAGATATTAGAATATTCAAACAAAACCAATTGAATAATTAATTTGTTGCTTCGTTTGCGAGTACAATTAAACGGCGCAGAAGGCCTACACTTCCACAAAAGTCAAAAGTCGTCAGATTTGGTCTAACCGATTTTTATACATGTTTTGAATAGTGATGATAACATTATTTGCTTACGAGTACAACTAAACGGCGCAGAAGATCTACACTTCCGCAACACTCCAAAGTCGTGAGATTTGGTCTAATCGGTTTTTATAAAAGTTTTAAATAGTGATATAATGATATTATTTTATTAAATTAGAAAACAGTATGTTTTAATTTAAGAGTGGGTAATAATTAATTAATATTTAAATTCTATCAGGGAAGTAAACGCTTAAAATAACAAAAAGTTTTTTAAAAAAACCCTTGAAAATTTGCACAAATTGAAAGAAACAAGTGACTTGAAAAACATTTTTTAGTCTGACACTTCGTGTCACATTTGTTTGTTATATACAGAATGCAACTTCCATCCAAGATGTTAAAATATTCAAACAAAACCAATTGAATAATTAATTTGTTAATTCGTTTGAGGGTACAATTAAACTTTCACAAAAGTCAAAAGTCGTCAGATTTGGTCTAACCTGTTTTTATACATGTTTTGAATAGTGATGATAACTTATAATTAATTAAGGTTTTTAGTTGAGATAAAAAGTGATGATAACATTATTTGCTTACGAGTACAACTAAACGGCGCAGAAGATCTACACTTCCGCAACACTCAAAAGTCGTGAGATTTGGTCTAATCCGTTTTTATATGTTTTAAATAGTGATATAATAATAATATTATTATTTTATTAAATAAGAAAATACAGTATGTTTTAATTTAAGTGTGTAATAATTAATTAATATTTAAATTCTATCAGGGAAGTAAACGCTTAAAATAACAAAAAGTTTTTTAAAAAAACCCTTGAAAATTTGCACAAATTGAAAGAAACGAGTGACTTGAAAAACATTTTTTGGTCTGACACTTCGTGTCACATTTGTTTGTTATATACAGAATGCAACATCCATCCAAGATATTAGAATGTTCAAACAAAATTGATTAATTAATTTGTTACTTCGTTTACGAGTACAACTAAATGGCGCAGAAGGCCTACACTTCCGCAACACTCAAAAGTCGTGAGATTTGGTCTAACCGGTTTTTACACGTTTTGAACAATGTACAATAATAATATTATTTGTTTACGAGCACAACGAAACGGCGCAGAAGGCCCACACTTTCGTAACATTCAAAAATCGTGAGATTTGATCTAACCGGTTTTTATACATCTTCTGAATACTATACAGTAATAATATTGTTTACGATTACTACGAAACGGTGCAAAAAACCTACACTTCCTCAATACTCGTAAGTTGTGAGATTTGGTCTAACCGGTTTTTAAACATGTTTTAAATAGAGATACCATGATAATATTATTTTATTTAATAAGAATAATATACAGTATATTTTAATGTAATGAGTAATATTATTTATTACGAAATATTATTTGGTTTGACATTTCGTGGAATATTTGTTATATACAGAATGCAACTTACACCACGTTATTCCACAAGACAAATTGAATAATGCATTTATTGGTTTGTTTTCGATATTGACCAAATTCCTGCCGAAAGATGGACGAAACAAGTTGAATAATTCTTTTATTTCTTTGTTTACGAGTACAACGAAACAATCGCATCACTCATAGGTCATGAAGAGTTATCTACACGAATCTGATAAATTTCTTAACAATAAGAATTTTTTGTAAAAGTAAATAGAGGATATTTCATAAAATATTTTAAAAAAGTACCGTACAAAATGTAACAAATTTGGGCGATGAGCTTTGGTACCTTTAAAAATAATTGTAAACCTTCAATAAATTGTACCAACACAACTAATACATCGCAGCATCACAAAACATACTTTGTTATTTATGGACAATGTTTTTTATTAATTAAGAATAAATGTTTAATATTTCATATTGGTCAGGTTGATATGGACAAAAATGTTGCCGAAAGATGGACGAGGTGAATACACCTCGATCCTGGTAATCGAGAAGATTGACGCCCTCGATGAAGGAAGATACACTTGCCAAATAGCAGACTGGGGTTTCCAAGAATGCAAAACTGTCTACATAGAAGTCGCCAAAGCTCCGCAGGTGCACATACTGCCCATGAGTGCCTCTCTGCAAAAGGTACCGGCATGAGTGACGCATTCTCCTTATAGAACATTATAACATTTATTCCGTTCCAGGGTGAAAGCATCGATTTGAAATGCGTGTCCACCAACGAGAGGAGGTGGTCGGATCAAGATCCCATTGGATACAGCTGGAGAAAGAACAAGGAACTCTTCCCGTTGTCACCTGGGAAAGAGGTCTGGGAAGACTTGAAGCCTACGGGAAGTATCCTGAGGGTGCATAACATTGAAGTACGGATTCATAAGTCTCATTGCTTACTCAAACAAAATCTAACTGTTTAAAAATAATCTAGTTTTCTGATAAGTAATGACAAACTAACTTAACTATCTTAACTAACTTTGGTCATAATTATGAAGTCGAATGGGTTCTGTCATGCTATCTGTAATATAATTTTTCCCATCAAATGTCTTCAAATTGTCAAAATTCCTTATTACATCCTTAACCTCACTAGCCACAACGACCTTTTGTCTGTTCTTATTTTACCTGTTTACATTTTAACACCCAAAAATGCTTCATTCACTTAAAAGCTCCCTACACATTCCTTACAACCTTACCCTTGTATCCTATTTAATGGACTGCTGTGTCAGAGTGAGACGCAGTAATTAATACTCAGATGTTACACCCCACAAGGGAGCAGTCTTGGTATTTATGGTTGGTAAGTAACAAAGCATTCCTTTGATACTTTATACCATTTAAACTGCTGAGTCTGGATGTTACCGCATTTTGCCTTGTTACTGGTATCATATCCAAGTGACTTCCCGCATCCAAGAACGCCTTATGATTGTCAAAGACTGAATCTTTACACAATACTTAAGTTACAACTATGAAGACATTTACGACCGTTTTGATTGTCAAAACTAACTTTAAACCACTCTGCACATGTGGACTGTGGGGTTCTACCAAGCCATACGATATCCAGCACATCCCATCTTTCTAATCAAAGATCCTCAAATTGTCAAAGCTCCGTACTACATCACTAATCTCACTATCCACATTCACCTCAACATTCTTTTTGTCAAAAAACTGATTCGATCCTGCTTCCAAAATTTCCTCGCCAAGCATCCTATCTCTACTGCTGAAGCCCTATCAATACATTCCCATTTTGAGAACTCGTGACATTGCGTTAAAAGATGATGATTTTGTAACCTCCTCACCCCTTAATCCCTCATATGAAGTACCAGCATTGAATGGGTTCTCTTAACCTGTGTCCTCTGGGTCCAGTGCCGGCCATAGAGTGAATGTTGCATTCAAAAGGAAAAATCCACCTTCCAAAATAGACACTAATTTGAAAATATAAATTAAACATTTCATAATAAAACATGTCTACCCTTTTTTTATGTCATCAAAAGTTTATTGTACTTAATTTCTTGGCTTATTTATTATCCATAAATATTTGTTGTATTATCTCGTTTTTCTCTTGTTTGTATTTAAATTTTTTTATTTGTAAAACTTATGTTTTAGAAATCAACAACATACACGTGCCTTGCTCATACGTTAGCGGCAACACAGGAGCAGAGTGTTAGAATTGAAGTCATTAATCACACATCAATGGCGATGTGTAAATCGGAGTTGTATAATGGTATTAAATGGAGCATAACCACTCCAGGAAGTACTGCATTAACTGAATGCCCCCATAGGTATTAAACATAAACACTAGATTTATTACTCATCTAACTACATTTTTTACAGGTATTATGGGATTGCAAAGCGTCAGTGCTTGATATCAGATCCAGGATTTGCGGTTTGGCAGGAGCCAAATTTTTCAAACTGCATATCTGACAGACTATACGGCATCATGACAAATGTACTGATTCAATCATATTTTGCTTGTTTTATTTTGTAATTGTTTTCTATGTGTTATAACAGTTTCGAATATTAGCTAGAGGATATATGAAAACAACGTTAGAAAAGACGAGTTCAGAATTGGTTTATTTTCTTGAAGATAGGAAAGGACTCTATCCAGGAGAAGGCGAGCCCATAATCGACTTGTTGCAAGAAATCCTTTTATATGTTAATGACACTTCTTCATGGGTTGATCTCATCGACAGTACCATGTACTTTTACAGATGTATAGACTTACTCCTAGGTTTCACCAATTCAATCATAAACGAACATGTTAGTATTGTTAAAAATAAAAAAAATCTTTGATTGAAGCTAAAACGAGACTATTATTTTTAGAAAGTAAGGGATGTTCAGGTATTGTTAAACAGATGGACTTTACTTTGGGCTGAACACACCCACAATGGGACTGCACATCATTTTTCGTATGATTCATTTGTCATAGACGTTATGAGCATAATGGACGACACTCATACAAGCTACTACATACCAAAACTGTCTAATGAGTAAGAAATTTACTCTATAAATTACAAAAAAATAATTCAAATGTTTTTACAGTTATCCAACATGGTACACGACGAAGGTGGCTGTTCATGTTGCTGCGCAACAATACACTGGGTTTGTCAACACTAAGAACATACTGGCAATTGTCAATTATCACAATATCACAAAATTTTTGCCAAATCGATCATCACAAAAAAATGTGTAAGTTTTTAACACAAATTTATTAAGGCATCCGACTTGTACATGCCTTTTCTTTTTTTTAAATTGATCTCTTTTCTGGCACATCATTTGAAAATTATCCCTGGCATCATGAACATAGGTAAAAGCTGTGTTGAACAATAATTAGCATTGGTGAGGTAGATTACTCCAAGCGGTAGATTACGCTGTTGACTTGATATTCAGTTAAAGTTTGTTGGCTGGGTCGTTCTTCTGGTTGAGAAATATTCAGCTAAGAATGGTGTCTTCCCAATCAGACAATGTCTTTATGAGGTTCATCCAGCTGGAGCGTGCCTGGAACTGCTTTATTGAAATGTTGGGTAGTCTGCAGTTCCAGGCACTCTCCAGCTGAATGAACCTTTCAGTTGGTCCTGCCTTATATTCCATAGCAAGAAGGATCCAATGCCATCTCTTCTTTACATGCTTTATGGCTTAATATAGATAAATTATGTTGTACTGGGCTTGAATACAATTGAGTTGAATGAAGAGTTTCTTGTGATATCATGACGTTTTAAGGGGGAAAAGAAAGAAAATACACGATTAATCAACTTGAAGAACTTAGAATCCGAACAGAATTGTTAAAAAAGTATTGCGGCTTGTTATACAATGAGAAAGATTGATATCAATCCACACAGTACATGTAAATTTTGCAAATGGGCACAAGAGACCCTAATATACTTTAACAGACTGTGGCGCCACACTTCTCTGCAGGATTAATTGGTTTGGCATATACAACATATGGTAACTACGTGGATCTCCTCAGAAAAAAAAGGGAAAAGGGAAAAGAAACAAGAAAAAGAAAAAAAAATTAAAATAAGGTTAATCCTTCTAATTAAAAAGAAATAATAGAAAATATATATACATTAATTTACAAACAATAAAACTTTATGATAAAGACCTTATTCACAAATCACACTCAGCTGAGATATATAAAATATTAATTTAGGAGAGATCAGAAGACAGAAATCTAAAAGCACGTATTCACGTGGTCGACCCAAGAAGAGAAGAAAGAGAAAAAAATCCTTTTTTTATCCGAGAGGTTTTTCCCCCTTGAAAACTCTGTATCTTTTTGTGGCGCCCTCTTTCAGGCTGGCGCCCTTTTCCAAAATTCTCCAATATATATACTATATATGTTATAAATACTCTCAATCAAACTCTGATGAATTAATTCCCACCAGTGTGCTATAAGTAAAAAAGTAAATAGGGAGCAGTAAACCAATTCCCCTGAGTATACATACAACTGAATATACATATAAGTACAGCAGAATGATTAGAACTGACCATGTATATCTCCATTTGTTGTCCCCCACTTTGTTCCCTACTTATTTGTTATTCTTAACTATTCAAAAATTTCTTCTTCTTCTCCTTGTATGTAAATATTTATGCCTGGGTGGATATCAATATACGGTATATCTAAACTCTATCCATCTGGAACACAGACTGTTCATGACCCACCACTTTAGACACTGATCAGTTTCCCAAATTAGAACACAACTTTCATAGTTACTCAATTCACACTTACACACACCCCTATTCTAATGGCTAACATGAAGCAGCCCCCCTTCACTACTAATCTATTTTAAACATATATTCCATTCGCGCTAATAAATACATTCACTCCAATGTGAGTGTAAATACACTCATCCACTATGAATTAACCATGTACAATTACAACAGCAGGAGTGACACCGTGGTATTTTAAATTCCATCAGAGGTCTCCCCCTCATTCACTCCTCACTAAAAATTCAGACCGTCAAGGTACTTAATATTCCACCAGGCGTTCCAGTCTCATTCATCATTAATAATTCATGTTCACTGTCATTAATAATTAGGTTACAATCAAACATGGATTAAAAGTAATAAAAAATCTAGTCGACTTTGTGCTGGCCAAGTCATTAAGGCATCTGACTCTGAAATGTGCCTCGCTAATGATTCTGGGTTCATATAACATCATAAGCTATGAAATTTTAATTGATAATTAAAAGATAAATTTGGAGAAAAAAAAGGAAAGTAGTTTTATTTCTTGTCTGCACACCCCATTGTTGGACGTTAACTGTACATGTATATGAAAATGCTTAAATTAAATTAAATTTGAAATCAGAAATAAAAAGTTAAAATGCCTTCCGCTCTGAGTCTATACATATGTTTCCAGAGTCTGCAGTCCGACATTCTAGTCCTAACTTAACTTCCTAGGTTTCATATTAGATGCTTTAATAATCTCTTTTGCATGCCTCTGCCCTGAGGTACAGTCCTATTGAACTGTAATTATTCTTAACCTAAAATAGCAGTGAAAATGATGATCACTAATAATATATTTGAGGTTCTGATGTTTAACACCTATATGTTTGTAATTTCTGATCATGTATGAGTCTACCCTTGCTGGTTTGTTCTGACATACATGTTTTGGCTTTGTGCCATGTTCAATCTAAAGATTACTCTCCTTGCTTATATCCCTGACCTACTACTGAAGATGTTTAAATGCCAAAATGCTTAACCAACAAAACCAGCGAGGCAGTGTCCAAACTACAAGTTAAGTCCCAACCTTTGTTTATCAAAAATGCGATCACTTTTAAAACACTTAATTTTTAAATATTTTATTAACAAACAGATTTTTGCTGGTCAATTTTCAGGGATGGGACTGAAATTATATACGAAGTGCAATCGAACATTCTGAGCATATCTGTAGCTAGGCACATGAAAGTGCACATCGAGGTTGATATTCCACTATGGGAAGTTAGAGAAGGCTGGAACAGGACATGTGCAGTCGCACCATCCTTGGATGCAAACTGGGACTTGTCCACGTGTCATCATGCTGTCAAGCAGCACAACGTGACTCAGTGCGTGTGTCAGTGGCCTGGAGTTTACTCTGCTTTACTGTCCATGGATTCTACTGCTGTATGCATACTATAATTCAATGCTATAAATATAAATAATTTCTGATTTGTATTAAATTTATTTTTATTTTTTAGAGCCATGTTGGTTTGAACCGGATTCTCCGTCCTTCCTCGATTGTTCTCATTGGTTGTACAAGCTGTCTAGTCCAGTCGCTCTTGGCATTTGTACTTTTGCTAGCTCGTTGGTGGCACAGAAAAACATGTATCCTCTTTTTGAAACTACAGTGTTGTGTTTCCGTTTCTCTTATAATGTGCATTTTCATGTATTCTGCTCGGATCAATCTACCTAAGGTAAATTTTGATTTTGCCAGTTTAAACATTTTTTAATATTTTTTGTTTGCAGTACACTTTTACATCGATGACAGTTCTTATAGAAGGTCTCATGCTTCTCGGAATAACATCACATCTCAGCAAGCTACTTGTAGTGTACACAGAGGTTGTTCGACTGCCTAATGTAAAAAATATAAAGAAGACTGTGTTTGGTATAACTACAGGTGCGATAAAAATAAGCCAATTAAAATCAAGACATTAATTTTTGTTTTAATTAAAGGTGTAACTTTACTGGCTGTTCTGTGCAGTCTGCTCGCACACCACCTAAATGATAACTATTTGGACTCCTGGTGGCTTCCATATGATTCAGCAATGTTTTTCACACTTGCCACATGCAGTTTTTTAATAGTCGCAATGTTTATTTTCCTATTTTTTAACTTGATGCACAGGTTGAAATTTCTACTTTGCATGCAAGATGAAAAGACAGCTCATATCATACGAAGAAGGTATTAAATTCAATTATTATAAATCAGGTCATAAAATAAGTTGATAGTGTTTAAAATGAATGAAAGTTCTAAGTACTTGTAAACAAATTTAACAATTTTTTCTATTAACTGTTGTCATTTTCCATGTAATTTTGAAATTCTGTCCTTCTCAGGCTTCTAAGTGATGAACTCCTCGATGAGTTTGAGTACAGTGTAATCCTCAAATGAAATAAAGTTTGTCCTGCTTTTCTTGTTTCGCAAAGTGTAAATCTGAAGGGGCAAAGTCAGATGTCAGTAGGTAGGGTAGCACAAACCATGTGTCTGCGAGTACATCTGGGATGAGTATTATTCTGGTGGAAAGCAATCCCTTTGCGAGAAGCCAATGCCTGTCATTTTTGGTCACTTGCTGACTTTAACTTTTCCCATTGTGTGCAATATACATTAGAAAAAATTAAATTCACTAATTTTGTGGTCCGCTTGACCCCACGATCTTCGGCTTGATACGCCGCTGCTCTACCACTTGAGCTATCGTGACGTCGATCCACTCGAACACCAACTTCCCATCTCACCCACACGGGTGGATCGAGGTCACGGTAGCTCAAGTGGTAGAGCAGCGGCGTATCTAGCTGAAGATCGTGGGTTTTTTATCTCAACTAAAAACCTTTATTAATTATAATATATTAATTGGTCAAGCGGACCACGAAATTAGTGAATTTAATGATTTAAAATGAAGTATACTTCACTAAAGCTCTCCGTGGCCATTTCATTTGTCGTCGAGAATCCAATCAAATTACATGACATTTGAAAAATGGCAAAAAGGAGGGAAAATTCAAAATGTGCGGTTGAGATGGGAAGTTGGTGTCCTAATGGATCAAGGTCACGATAGCTCAAGTGGTAGAGCAGCGCCTTATCAAGCCGAAGATCGTGGGTTCGAATCCCGCTCGTGCCATTGACTTTTTTATCTCAACTAAAAACCTTAATTAATTATTAGAAATAATGGTTTCATTGAGCAGAAGAAGTTCACAGTAAAGTAATTCCAATCCCAGCAAATGCACAACATTGCCATTTTAGGATCTAATCCTAGTTGTTAACAGTGGGTCTCTGCGTCTAAGGACCCACTTTTTATCCCCAGTTACACCATCAAACAAAAATGTGTTGTTTATAATGCGGTTTAAAAGGGAACCACAAATAGAAATATGGTCCAATTAAATTCTTCTGAAAATGTAACAAACCCGTCACTCTGCCAAACATATCCAACTACTTTTAGATGCAAATACGAGATATGAAATTAGAAAAAACTTGTTAAAACACAAGATCTCGAGCAAAACAGATGAATAAAAATGACTTAACTAATTCCTTGATGGAGTGTGTAAACAGTGCCCAAATATAAACTTCTTCAAAACATAACAATGATAAAATTTAGTTATTGACAAACCTAAACACTTATTTTATAACCAAATAAAAATAGAATAATTTAAAACTAATATTTTTTATTTTTTTTTATTTGCAGGATTGGCCTTTTGAAGCGTACAATTGTTTTATTTTTTTCGATGATGTGTATGTCCATTTCAAGTGTAACATACGTCAACAGTCCAAACAAAATCAATTATTATCTGTTCAGTGTGTGTTCTGCTCTTCTTGTAAGTTCACAAAAACAAAATAAAACCATTTTTTTTTTTTCAAAATGAATTCATCTATCTGTTATCTATTCCAGGGTTTTTTCATTTTTTTCTGTTACATTCTGCACAGTGAGTCTTCTCTTAACATTAAACTACTAAAACAGTTGAAAATTTATACTTCCAAAGACCTCGACTATAGCTCTGAATCTGACACAAATTTATTTAACTGTAAGTATTTTTAATATTAAATTTGTTTTATGTATTTCATGATTGATTCCCATTTTCCAGTCTTTACAAAACAAGACCCAGAAGTGGAAAGCGACTGCGCTCCACCATGCATAAAATCAACCCCACCGATTCAGATGACAGAATTGGTACCAATCAGTGAAAAACTTATCCCAAAACCAAAGATGGTCACGTTCAACGGAGAGCCGAATATTTGTTAGTCTCACCTAAATATAATTTTTTAAAATAATAATTATTTATCTGATTGACTAGCTATGCACTATTTTTTTAGAATTATTCATCAGTTGTTAGACCCGAGCAATTACCGTTTATTGATGTTTTAGGCGAGAAGAAAGAAAATACAGATGTTGATTTAGAAGTGTACCCAAATAGTCCTAGAAAGTACAACAAAGGTATTTTATTGCTAGTTAATGCTCCTGAAAAGGCCCATATTACAGAAGACACGTCGTCATCGGTCAATGATATTTGTACAAAAGAGTTTAGCATGAATCCCATTCCTGATGTCATCACGAGCAAAGTGTTTGTAGATGTAGAAGTGGACCAAGAGAATAGCCTGTTACCAAATTCGACTCGACTTCCAACCAAAGACATCCCTACTAAAGTTCCTTTTGCAACGGAAGAGTCGGCCGACAATGACGTTTTCGTCGTGCCGGCCCCTACGCTCGAACCTGCTTCAATCAAAAGCAATTCTGAAGTTTTACCAACAATAATGGAGGATGAAGACTGTGAGGATAAAAATGTTCTAGACCGGATAACTCATGATCTAGACTACCTACTAAACCGAAAACCAGAAGGCGAGATTATTTCTTACCAAAGACATAAAAAACAAACAGGAACTGATCCAAATAAACCTATTCCAAGCACCAATTTATAAAGGAAATTTATTTACTTTAATAATTATTTATTTTATTTAGATAATTTAGTTTATAAAACATTCCTAGTTTACATTATTAAAAATATTCTGACAGATCTCATAAATTATTAAATTTAGATAAGTTTATTCAAATGTTCAATAGGTTAGAACAACTATTATATGTTTATAATTGTTCCTATTGTTCTAAGATAATAATTGAATTTTCTGTTTTTCTATAATTTGGGTTGTACTTTGTTTAGTATGTAAATAATTATTTATTTGTTATGGATATCCTATTCGTGTCTAAGACAAATCATTACTGGGAATTTTTTTCTATTTGGATAAGAGCATTTTCAAGTGAAACTAGTTTTGAAAATGATAAGTACCTGAAGGAAATAAAGTCAAATTTATTAAATTATTTAATGTAAATAGACTGTCAAAACATTTACTCTTATTTAACTTTTCAGTGTCATACGTGTTTGTATATTCTGACTAATTAGAATTTCTACTAATATTCTTACTTTTTAAATCCAACAGTATTAATTAGTAATAAATATGTAAATGATGTGTCAGTAAAAAAGATTGGATTGAGTTTTTGATTTAAAAAAAAATATATATATATATAGTGTTGACTAGGTTTTTCATTTTCTTCAAAGCTCATTAGTCATTGTGTTTGTTGTTAACATTATTGTTCAATTGTATTGAATTAATAAAGTGTTGTGGAAATATTGTTTTGTGTGTCTTAAAAACAATGTAAAAATTGAATTTGTTGAGACAAAAAAATAGAAAAAACTATTTTTGTATTGATGATACTAGCTCACAAATAACTGTGTTATATATTTATAAGTGTGTAAATATATTAAAAAAGAAAAGAAAGTGCCTTTAACATTTTGTAACTATATTCGATTTATAAACAATTGATCAATCTATGTTATTGTTCTTTTATGAAATAATAAATTAACTATTTACAGATTTATTACGATTGTATTTAACCTTTTATTGAAAAAAGAAAAAGACCTAATGATTATTGGCTGGTTCTCAAGCTGAATTAGTCATTGTCTTCTATCGTAATTTCTGTAAAATTTAAATGAAATTATAGCCACTAGAATACTCGGGACTTGGTACATAAAGTAAGTAAGAAAATAGCAAATCTCAATTTTACCACACAATTACAAGATACAGCTAAAAAGTTGTAATGTTTGGTCACAAAATAACAAAAGAGACTGTGAAGAAACAGAGTAAAGTCAACAAATTATTGAAATTTAAATTTGTGTAATAAAACACTGTAAGTGGACACTAATAAAAAATTAACTTTGAGCTTGAATGAGCTTGAATAATTAGGCCTGTAAGCCATAAAATTCACCACACTGTGGGTTTTTTATGTGTCTAATACTAAGAGATATAGCTTAAAAGACACAGGATACATGCTAAAGAAGGCTATGACAAATATCATCAAGGAACGCACAAAAACAAGTAATGAAAATAATCCGTAGCAAAGAATTAATATTACTATTATTATTCTTTCTATGTAATGTCTTGGTTGAGATAAAAAATCAGTGTCACGAGCGGGATTCGAACCCACGACCTTCGGCTAAATACGCCGCTGTTGTACCACTTGAGCTATCATGACCTCGATCCACTCGGACACTAACTTCCCATCTCAACCCCACATTTGAAAAATGGCAAAAAGGAGGGAAAATTCAAAAGGTGGGGTTGAGATGGGAAGTTAGTGTAACATCGAGCGGCGTATCTAGCCGAAGATCGTGGGTTCGAATCCCGCTCGTGCCATTGACTTTTTTATCTCAACCAAAAACCTTAATTAATTGTAATATATTAATTGGTCAAGCGGACCACGAAATTAGTGAATCTAAAACAAGGCGACATTGCTAAACTGTAATGCTTAGGCATCAGAAACCAAACTGATGGTTAGCGATTAAATAAAGGGAATCAAATGAAATATAAAAATGTAGGATGAGTTTTTCAAAGATCTTTCCTATGAAGGGAATTAGATTATAGGATGATAAGAATATAAGTGCGCAGTGGTTTGCTAGTTTTCAGGATTATGATAATTGAAGAAAATTTCAATAAAAAACTATTTTTTTACATAAAAAAGGGAAAACAGTACTAGACAGTATGTGACGTATTATAGAAACTTTTTATTCTAATTAATTAATGTTTTATTGCCTCTTGACTTGTCAAACAGCTGAGCTAGAAGAAATAATTTATAATTAACTATAAATAATTCAAACTGGATGAACTATATGCTGAACGTAGGAAAGTAACTTGTTGGCACCTAGTCTGAGGTAATGCGAATGAATCGTGTTGTGAATGTAGTTTATTAGCAGGAATGGAGGAGCTCCCATTACCCCAAGAAATAGAGAGTTCTATTGGGTAGTGTGAACAAAATTAGCAAAATTAACAAAATTCAAAATGTGAATGTAATTTATTAGTTTCAATTAATTAATCTTTCAGTAAGGTATTTGTTGAGATAATAAGTCAGTGCCACGAGTGGGATTCACACCCACGACCTTCGGCTAAATACGCCACTGCTCTACCACTTGAGCTATCATGACTTCTACATAGAAGTCAAGTGGTAGAGCAGCGGCATATTTAGCCGAATGTCGTGGGTTCAAATCCCGCTCGTGACACTGACTTTTTTATCTCAACCAATTCCTTACTTAAGATTAATTAATTGAAAAGAATTTATTTGGTCAATTGGACCACAAAACCTAATTGATGTAATTTATTAATGCGAACAGTGGGAGCTCATCTCCAATTTACACTAAGGAATATAAGTATTTTCTTGTTTCTTTTTTATATATTTGTTTCTAATTTTTTTATTTTATCTACAATTGATTAGGCCCTGAGGTACATCGGATAGAGAGGAGATTACCTTCTTAGGGTAATGGTACATGCATATTCAGTGAAGTGTTTATCGTTTTGTTTGAGAATAACTGCCAATTGCAACAAATTTCTGTAGGCAGTTCCCAAAGAGAAAACAATCTGGAGGAAATAAATGGCCAGTCTGATCATAATTTGGCCACAGAAACGAGAAAAGAAATTATAAGCAAAAACTGCAAAAAAGAAACAGAATTCAAACTTGCATATCTGTGTACTAATTGTAGGAAAGTTATTTGTTGGCCCCAATTAACATTTTTTCTAAATAATTATTAACTAAAAAATGTATTGCTAGTCTTGTGTAGTTTGATAATAAGAATTAATATAGCAATATTCTATAATTTGTGTAAGATTATATTCAAGGAAACATTGTATTGTTGTTATATAAACTGCACTATGAGAAAAAATGATAATAATTATATTTAAATTGTTTGTTTTTTTAAGTTTCCATTTCAGGTGATAGGGCACATAATATTAATCCTTGCCACATTTTCTGTCAGACGTATTTCAACGTTTTGCCCATGTTTTTGAAAACGTGAGACAGGTTTATAAATATCTTACATAATCTAAAAAAAATTTTAATGATAATAATAGAGGGGCATATTCAACACCAGTTGTGTGCACAACTGTTGTTTTCCAATAGTGATCAATAAAACAAGTGTCCTTTGAAATATTTCAACGATGATTAATTTCTAAGTAAATGAAGAACAACACCTCTACAAACATGCCAAATATTATTTAAAATTTTACAACCAAAATTTTTTATGAATATTGTGTCCTTAATATCCATATTATAGTTTAGTTTCATTTAAATAACAAATGATTACATAATTACAAAATCTTTTTAGACAATTAATTAACTCATATAACACTCAAAAAGTAATAAAACTGATTGAAAATTTTTAATGAACTCTTTATTGTTTCATGATTTGTTGGGATTGAAAGATAGCGCTATGGAGTCGACCAAATCATTTGTTAGATAATCAGTTTAAACACAGAAAATTGTTTCCTGCACGTTAAACGTTCTTCCCCCACCGTATATATTGGTATGTTCTGACTCTTTTGCTATCCAGCAGTGCATTGGACACTTCGAAGAGAGAATCTGTCAGTAATTAAGTATGTAAAAAATTTACTCAAAATGTAATAATATTATTAATATTGTTGAAACAGGATGAATTTATTTGTAAACTGATAGATTACAAATGTTTCATTTGAAATCCTCTTTATATTTTAAACAAAAGGAAAATAGTTTGAAATTTTGGAATTCAATTTGTATCTTATCAAGCTTTATTTTATGAACAAAAATTAATAGTTTTTTTTTTCATTTGTTGAAATTAACTAAAATCTTTCTTGTTTAAGCATAACTAGGTATTTGGTTTGGTTTAATAACAATTTAAGAAGAAATATTCTGGTTTAAACACATTAATTGTCAAAAATTAGATAATTTGTCCTTGAAAGTCGCAAATAAAATGAATATTCATTAATTTAAATTTTTAACATTCACTTCATAAAGTAGACAAATTTTTTAAAACTTCAATTAAGTTGAATATACAAGTTTATATTAGAATAATGTAGCCGGATTATTACCATTATTAATATTATTCTTTTTTTCCTTTTGGCAATTTGACAGATAGCCAGTGGGCTATTGTCTAGGATGTTTTATGCACTGTACATTTTCGGTAAAATAATTTTTAACAATTATTAATAAAGTATTGTGTAAATTATGATTATTAGTATTAGTATTAGTATTCTTATTATTACCATTATTAATATTATTCTTTTTTTTTCCTTTTGGCAATTTGACAGACAGCCTATGGGCTATTGTCTAGGATGTTTTATGCACTGTACATTTTTGGTTAAATTTTTTTATTGTAAATAAACATCATTATCTCTCTATCTATACGTTTATATACAAACAGAAAGGCAGATTATGAGGAAAGGGCAGAAGGCAAATCACTACGGGTGACCTTGCTGAAATCGCTATCAGTAATCTGTTAACAGGATGATATAATTACAATCAACATACATATTCTAATTATGAGGGCTTTTAAAGATAAGACCTAAGTCCTCTTCCACAACAGTTCGCTCCCAACTTTAAGTGATCTTGTTCAAGAGAGAGAGAGAGAGAGAGAGAGAGAGAGAGAGAGTGAGTGAGTGAGTGAGTGAGTGAGTGAGTGAGTGAGTGAGAGAGAGAGAGAGTGTGTGTGTGTGTGTGTGTGTGTGTGTGTGTGTGTAAAAGGTTTGCATAATGTACCAGTAGATATTATTTAAAATGCTGTTTTTTCCTCGCTATATCATGCAAGGTCATTTCTGTAAAATAGTCTACATCCTTTAGAATATTCAATTGACTAAATGCCACAATTAAAAATGACTATAGTATTGTTTACAGACTTTATTGTACCTTTTTCACACAATTTGTAACTATAATTTTAAATTCTGTTTAAATTCAAAGGGGAAAAAATGCGACTGCAAAAAGTGGTGTTGGAGCATTACGAGGTCGAAAGGAATGGCGAAAAGTTCAAATTTGTCATTGAGAACTTAGTAACGCCGGAGGAAATGGAACTGGCGGTCCAACACATGGTGACTTTCTTCTTGCCAAGGGAACCCTTATGTGCTTTGACAGGTAAATAATTTTACAAAAAAATTTTTCAACAAAATAGTAAAATGTGAAGAGAATATTAAAAGGTGACTTTGTTTAGACAATTAGTTTAATTAAATAATCATTTTGGATACACCAAGCATCTGGTGCATATCTAGCTGCCCAGATCTTTTTCTTCTGTGCCCTGGGTCCCTCAAATAGGTAGTCTTATATAGAAAAAAGAACTTAATTAAATAAATACTCCAGTTTAAAGGGGTGGCACCTCTGGCTTCACCCAATAATCAGTTTTATTGATTAGTGCAAATCTTCATGTGGGGGAGGTATGTTATCAGGCAGGGTCATACGTCTTGAGGCGGTAGATTGCTAGAGGCCCCCCTTCTTATGATTAACTCCTCTGCACAGCTAAGCCTCCAAACTCAGATGACAGGTGTTTGTATCTGACACCTAACTCTAACTCTTTACTTCAACTCTGTCTCTGACTTTCAGTACCTCAAGAGATGACTCTGACTCTCTGTCTTAATCTCTGACTCTCACCCCTGATCTCTCCATATGATTACAACTCAACTGACTCTGACTCTAACACAGATTCTAACTATGGTTCTCGTCAAACTCAAATTCTAGTTTTGACTGACTCATGATCTCTTCATTTCACTCCACCTCTAATCACAACTGGCACTGATCACTCTTACCCACATTTTGACTACGGTTCTCATTGAACTAAAAGTGTGGTTCTGATTGTGTCTCACAATCAACTGATTCAATCTCAATTTCTGCTGACTCTTGCTAACTCTGACTTTTACCAAAATTCTGTCTGGTTCTGACTAAATTCTAACCCTGACTCACAGCCTTTTCATCTGACTCCACCTCAACCGACACTAAATTGTGTTAACTCTGACTCTAACCAAGATTCTCTAACTATGGTTCTGCCTCTGCATGTATGTTCAGGTCATCTAACTCACGACCTTTTACATGCTTGCTCAGTTAGCAGCCTTGAGTGATCCTTGGTTAGCGAGATTGCTGATTGGCTATAGATTCTTTCTGACGAGGCAGTGTTTGACCTGGGATGACCCTACCAAACCTTAGATGGTGTGCTGTTTTGATTCCTGGCTCTAGCTGGCTGGGCCTCAGACATGGTACAACAATATTCGTATCTTGTCCAGAAAGACATGTTCAACAAACCTGGTTTTCAATCATTTTAGTCTGCTGATTTCATGTTTCATCTGTCAACCAAGTTTCAGCTTCTCAACATCTTCAGTTTTGCGTTGGTGTTTTAATCCTGTTCTTTTTTATTTCTTTTGTTTTTGTTTGTTCTTTTAAGTGAAATATATAAGGAGTGTAACATTAACGTTGTTCAATATAAATGATCAAGGTGGAATCAGGATGTAGATTAACTTTTTGTAAATGATGGTTTTACTTACAGAATTTGTTGTTTACAGCTGTTTGACTTTCAAGCTTAAACCTCATCTCCAATCCAAGGAGTTAAACAAGCACCAGCACGTGTCACGATACGACTGACCCCCCCCCCGTGCCAATGTGTATTCCAATCAGCAGCTGATTTTATTATCGCTCGATTTTGAATGTGCGAAAAGCGGGAATTACAACACGACTAAATTTTATCTTATTAAATACTGCAAGAAAATCATTTTAAATTAGTGATTAATTTGTGTCTTTTTATTAATTAATTAATAGAATTAAAATTAAAAAATAAAATTAATAAATTGACAATATAATAATACATTTAATAATAAACATTAATTTGATTAATTTGTACGTCAAGTATTATTTACATACTTATTGGGCTAGAGCAAAAAAAATTCAGGTTTTGAAGAGGTAGTCAAAAATATTTTCAATTTTTGTAAAATAAAGAAAATTTATTCCAAATATTTTCCATCACAATCTATACACGCCTAAGCGCTTTTATTCCGCTGACCAAAAATCTTTATTTCGGCTATAAAATTTTGGAAGGCGTTTTCGTCTTCACCGCGTTCTCTAAAAAAATTTATCCGGCAAGAAGTGATCAAATGGAAAAAAAAGCGTAATTCTGTAGTCGAGAGGTGAATATGGAGGGTGCGGTAAGGTTTCATCTCATAAGTCCTTAAAATACATTGCTACATGTCGCCTGGCGTTATCGTGAAGAAGGATCAGCCCCTTACAGTTTACCAATGCTGGACAAAGACGTTGCATTTTGTCAATTTATTGGCAATATTTTTCTACCTTGATAGTTTCACCATAATTCAGGCAGTTATAGTGAACAACCCCAGCACACCATGAAACAGCGACCATAACCGTTTTTTGGGTGCAGATTTGGTTTTGGGAAGTGTTTCGGCGCTTCATCCTTGGCCAACCACTGACCTGTACGCCTCCAGTGTCATACAGAAACCATTTCTCATCGCAAGTAATGTTTCGATTGAAAAATGGGTCAATTTGGCTCAACAGAAGAGACGTGCGAATTTCAAAGCGTCGATTTCTTTGGGCTTCAGTTATTTGGTGCGGTACCCATTTATCGAGCTTCTTTACTTTACCAATTTGCTCCAGAACCACGGTTGAGTGGTCAACACTAAGCTCTTCCGCAATTTCTCGTTGTCTTACATAAATGTTCGTCAATCAACGTTTTGAGTTGGTCTTCGTACACAATGGAAGGTCTACCGCGACATTCCCTGTCTTCGAGATCAAACTCACCAAAACTGAATGTCTGAAACCATTCCTGCATCTTTCATTCGCAAATACTTCCCTTCGTCCAAACTGTAGTGATGTTTCGCGCGGTTTGGGCTGCAAGTTTAAATTCATACAATAAATTTGACGAAAATATAGTTTGGACATATTTAATTTCGTCGGTCCTTACTCTTATAAAATTATATATAAACTAAAATGTTTTGCGCAAAAGATGATAGTTAAAAGCATTTATGATAATCCACAAATTAGATTTGAGGGTTTAGCTTTGTTTACACGACAAGTATCTGCTAAATAAAACAAATTTTCAAAATCTGCAATAATTTTGCACGAAGCCAATATTTAAAGTAGCAGGGAAGTCAAAATCTATTATATTATTTATGCATTTATTTCTATGTTCTTTAAATCTCGTTTCAATTTCTCAACCGCTTTGTCGTATATATTTAATATTGCAATCATTGCAATTCAATTTGTAACCCCACTTTTTGACAAGTTGTCAACCTTGTCTTTTGAAAGAATGTTTATAAGTGACCACGTACCTCTAAAAGCTACTCTAAAACATCTTCCCTTTAAGAACTGTATATCCTTTTTTCGGATATTTCATCAATGTATAATATATATATACATCATATTATAATGTAGGAAGAAAACCAAATGGTCTTTTTTGCTGGGATGGCTGAATCCAATTGTTGCTTCTTCAAGTTAATTGTTTGCTATAAATGATAATTATAAAAAAGTATTACAAATCATTAAAACCTTCATAAAAACAATGGATATCAAAAAATATTTATGGATAACTTGCTAGTGAAAATAATAAAAAAGTAACGGCAGAGAAATTAAAACGAGAGTTAAAGAACGATTTCCTAAATCGAACAAATTTTCTGAATTTGACCTAAATGAAACAAAACACAATTTAAATTTAAATACTACACAGTCCTACACAGTTTCAACAAAGGTAAGACATGTGTGGTGATTAGTGACCGTTAATCGATAATTATTCAGAAATCTTGAGATGCGGTCTGGTGTGATGTAGGTTTCAGAAAAACATTTTCTTTATCGTGCCAACGTTTCGATCTTTATTGGGATTATCTTCAGGGCCTGGGATTTACTAACATTGTTTACAATTAACAAATACATTTTGGAGTGGAAAAGTGAATTTATACAATGCAAAATATATTTTTTATATTCAATCAAAGTATTTCTACTCACTCAAAGTGTTTGTCTTCTGTGTAATTGTGCCATTCTTGCGTGTCGGGTTGAGAGTGCCAGTGAGATTTTACTGTTTTATGTTACACGACACACAAGAATGGCACTATTACACAGAAGACAAACACTTTGAGTGAGTAGAAATACTTTGATTGAATATAAAAAATATAATTCACTACTTTCGTGGTCCGCTTGACCAATTAATACATGACAATTAATTAAGGTTTTTAGTTGAGATGAAAAAAAGTTAATGGCACGAGAGGGATTCGAACCCACGACCTTCGGCTAGATACGCCACTGCTCTACCACCTGTCACGATAGCTCCCTCTCGTGCCATTAACTTTTTTTCATCTCAACTAAAAACCTTAATTAATTGTCATAAAAAATATATTTTGCATTGTATAAATTCACTTTTCCACATCCTAAATGTATTTGTTAAATGTAAACAATGTTTGTAAATCCCAGGCCCTGAAGATGATCTCAATAAAGATCGAAACGTTGGCACGATAAAGAAAATGTTTTTCTGAAACCTACATCACACCAGACCGCATCTCACGATTTCTTAATAACGGTAAGAAACTAGATTTATTTGAAAAATTTGAATTTAGAAAATGTAAAATTAAACATGGAGATAAATGTATAAATAATATATTAGATTTTGGCTTACCTCCTACTTTAAATATGTACCTAAATAATATTTTACATACAAATTAATTAATTAAATTTTTATTTTTAATATATTAATCTTTTTTCGAGGGTATTTCAACTAAGGGTTATAAGAACTCCCGGGTTGACGGTGTTTAAAAAAAAGCCCATTTGTAAATATGTCGGTTCGAATGCAGAGCCGCTGGATTCGAACCCGGTACCTTTATCTTACAGTGAAGGACGCCTAAAGCGTTGCGGCCCATTAGTTAATTATATTATATTTGTTAACTATTAATTATATTTTTTAATTTCGCATTGGCGGGGGATCGGCGAGTTCAATCTTACAATTCATGTTAGAGACGTGTTGTAAGTCCTTCAATCTGATTATGAGTTTAAGCTTGAAATACGGATGGTTGTAAATAAAAATTTGTGAGTAGAACCAACTTTTACAAAAATTTAGTGTTTTTCTATCGATGGTTTTGGTGTATTTGATGTGTAAGGGTTGTAAAAAGGGTGAGGAAATAAGAAAAGACACCGATTAAATAATAAACCTTAAACGTTTGTAAATTACAAACTCATTTGTTTTAAATAAGATAAATATTTGATCTATATCTATAAATGGCTCTTCAGGATTGAAGGATGATCCAGATTCACTGGATAGTATTTGCAAACTTTGGAGGAACTGTGTAATAGAAGGAACTGGGATAGGTGCTTACCTTCTCAATAATGACGGAACCAAAAGAAAACTAGTCGGAGTAAATATGACTTCGGTTTCCAGAATTGACGAAAAAGACGATGAAGTGAGTATATGATTTAATTTGTAACAAATCTGTCTGATTACTTACTACAATTATTTTTGTTAGACTTACAAGGGAAAAATTTTCAACGTGATACTGCAAGCGATCATTGACCAGACGAAAGCTTCAAATATATATGCTCGCTATTGCGTAGATGAGTATCTATCGGCACTTGGACTATCCGTAGATTCCGCCTACCATGGTTGCAAGCTGGGATACAAGATCCTCGAAAGTCGTGCAAACCTTTGCAAAAAGCTCGGAGTAAAAGTGGCTGGGACTGTCTTCACTGCCAGTGCTTCTCAATACCTTGCGAGCAAGCTCGGCTACGAAATCCTAGTCGATTGGGACTACAAATCGTTCAAAGTAAACGAGGAATACCCGTTTTACAAAATGTGGGAAGTGAGAAAAGAGAAAACAAGCAAGATGATGGCTTATAAATTTCAATAAACAGTGATTTTAAAAAAAAGTAAAAACGGTGTTTTTAAAATCTATTTACTTTCATAAGACTTTTATAAAATGTAATAATCTCAGTGTTACTACATTGATGAACAAAATAACAAACAAATAAACATCACCCTTAAATTATAATGTATTTAGGTTTATTCGTGTTTTGCATACCAAAAATAGGTTTTGTTTTAATAATAAGATATTTAAAAAGAAAATGTTTATTACCTAATTCTAAAAAAGCAATTATTTATTTAAGCAAAAATTTCAAAAACAAATAAAAATTATCCAGAAATCGTGAGATGCGGTCTGGTGTGATGTAGGTTTCAAAAAAACATTTTCTTTATATTACTGAAACCTACACCACACCAGACCGCATCTCACGATTTCTGAATAATCTTCGACTAACGGTCACTAACCACACAAATAAAAATGTAAAAAAAAAATTTTTTTGTCCCCTTTAATATCGACTGTTTCCGCCTATGGCACGAATTACATCTGTTAAACGATTTTGCAACCCTTGGAAAATTTTCTGATAAAATCCTGAAGAATTCTTTCCCATTCATCAAGAACGCAGTTCCAACTCTTCTAGGGTGTTAGGACCTGGGTTTCGCCATCGTACTCATCGCTTAAGTCTGTCCTAAATGTAAATGTCGATTGGGTTCAAATTTAGACTTCGAGCTGGCCATACCAAGCACTTAATTCCAACCTCATTCAGGTAGTCATCCACAGTAAGTCCTCTATGGGGTCTGGCATTATCCTGCACTAGCAAGAATCACTCACCGATTTGGGGGCCAAATGGCACTACATGTTCTTTGATTGTCTTGTCAGTACCCCTGTGAAGTTAGAGATCTTTCTCGACAACCAATTCGGTGCGACCGTCCAAGGAAATGTCACCGCAGGACATTAATGACCACCATGGAATGCCACCTTGGAAGGAGCATAGAGGCGTACCTTTCTCAAGAGCCTCTCTATATGAAATTACACCCATCGGAAGATTTTAGGTCAAATCTCAACTCATCTGTAAAAAGAAATTGTTCCCTATGATTATTTGGAGATCGTGAGCTCCTGTCTGGTGTGACGTAGGTTTAAGAAAAAGATTTTTTTTATCGTGCCAATGTTTCGAACTTTATTGAGATCATCTTCAGGGACTGGAATTTACAAACATTGTTTAAATTTTACAAATATATGTAGGATGTGAAAAAAAATTATACAATGCTAGAAATTTTAGATTCAATGAAAGTATTTGTACTCACTCAAAGTGTTTGTTTTCGTATAGATGTGTCATTCTTGTGTGTCGTGTTGAGAGTGACATCAATATCTCACTAGCACTCTAAAAACTTCTATAAATTCATTTTTTTTCAGAACCTATATGTATTTGTAAAATTTTAACAATGTTTATAAATCCCAGGCCCTGAAGATGATCTCAATAAAGATCGAAACGTTGGCACGATAAAGAAAACATTTTTCTAAAACCTAGGTACCGCCAGACCGCATCTCACGATCTCAGAATAATCATTGGAAAATAAATTCACTAATTTCGTGGTCCGCTTGACCAATTAATACATTACCATTAATGAAGGTTTTTAGTTGAGATGAAAAAAGTGAATGGCACGAGCGGGATTCGAACCCACGATCTTCGGCTAGATACGCCGCTGCTCTACCACTTGTGCTATTGTGACCTCGATCCACTCGGACATCAACTTCTTATCTCAACCCCACCTTATGAGTTTTCCCTCCTATTTGTCATTTTTCAAATGTCGTGTAATCGGATTGGATTCTCGACGACAAATGAAATGGCCACGGAGAGCATTAGTGAAGTGTACTTCATTTTAATTCATTAAATTCACTAATTTTGTGGTCCGCTTGACCAATTAATACATTACAATTAATTAAGGTTTTTAGTTGACATGAAAAAAAGTTAATGGCACGAGCGGGATAGGAGGGAAAACTCATAAGATGGGGTTGAGATGGGAAGTTAATGTCCGTGTGGATCGAGGTCACGATAGCTCAAGTGGTAGAGCAGCGGCGTATCTAGCCGGAGATCGTGGGTTCGAATACCGCTCGTGCCATTAACTTCTTTTCATCTCAACTAAAAACCTTAATTAATTGTACTGGAAAATAAATTGAATCCGTATTCAGGAAAGCTTTAAGTAGCAATATACAAGGCGTCCTTTTTAGATGACCCAGCTGAATTTCTCTTGAACCAATCAGCTACGAAAAAAATAAAAAAATACATGTTTAATATTCTTTAGTGTAGTTTGAATTTTATCTTTTCACAGAGAACAATTTTACAGGACACCTCAGACCCAGTTCAACTTCAACATCTCAAATACGACTCTATAAACCCTGACCACAGAGGAAGAGAATAAAAATGAAATGATATTCGTTTAAACCTACCATGTGCATAACTGCCCCACGTGCCTCGGCTTTTAGTTGAATTGTTAAGTTTGCCGGTTGGTATCGCCCCTGATTAACCTAGACTGTCGATTTGAGTTAGATGTCTAACCGACGAAAATAAAGACAGGAGGTGAATTTTTAAAACGAATTTGACGGAGAAATCTTGTTCGGAAATTGATGACAGCTTAAATAAAACATTTATTTCCACTTTAGCATGATTAGGACAAATTGTCAGACCTGTTAAATGTCATAAAAGGTTTTACAATCAAATGAAAATTCGTTCTAAACAATTTTTTAAACATAAATTGTAATTAAATGATTAAATATATAAATTATGATTATTTAGAGATCGTGAGATGCGGTCTGGTGTGACGTAGGTTTTAGAAAATCATTTTCTTTATCGTACCAACGTTTCGATCTTTATTGAGATCATCTTCAGGGCTCAATAACGATCGAAACGTAGGCACGATAAAGAAAATATTTTTCTAAAACCTACGCCACACCAGACCGCATCTCACGATCTTCAAATAATCATTAACTAACGGTCACTAAACACCACACATTGTTCCTTATTATCGAAGTCTAATTTACATGTTCTTCTGCCTGGACATTTTATGAGCTCACATTTTATGGGTCTTCTGTTTTACAGTATTGGAGGAAATCGAAACATTTCGGACTTGTCTTATCAGATTTCTTATCTTATTTCGTAATGCCTGATGACGCACGAATATATCATCTCTCTCGTCTGTAGACCTATGTCGACCCTGCCCTGGCCTTCTAATGTGAAGCCTTGTTTTTCCCCCTTCCTATTGCAGAATGACTTACGCTCAGTTTCCTATCGGCTTTACGCTGACTGTATCCTCCTGTATGTTGTCACACTGTCATACTCACTCGAATGCCTGATCGGAGCTATTGACAAAGGTTTCAGAATAATATAAAATCCAATCAACGAGGGAAAAAGATTGACTGAATGCTTCAGGCGTAGCCGAATGGAAAGGAACAATATTACTTATTGTGCAAATGAGATTAATCAGTACAAAAGAAAACAATGGATATAAACAAAGCAATATTTACTGTGTATTTTGGCTACTATAGCGCCTAATTGCCTATAACTAATGTAGACAGAAACTGGATTTAACTTTAACATAGACAACTTAATTGGTGCGTTAAATTTGGCCACCACTATAGATTGTAGACGCCATTTTCAAAAATTCATTAAAGATGGTTTTGAGCCGAAACGAGTTTGATTAATAGTGAAAATAAGTGATCCGAAGGATGAGTTTGGAACCATATCACAATACAGGTTAAGTGTTTTTTATGAGATCATAAAATCTATTTTTACCAAAAACCAATAGTAATTAAAAATATAATATTTTGTTGATTTTTTAAACTGTTTACGATTCAACAGGTAAATATATATTATTAAAGAATAAAACCAAATTAAAAAATGAAGTTTTATCATATGTCCATTAAAGTTCGTGTCCGATTGACGAATAAATATTTTTAAATTAATTAATATTTGAAAAATGGCAACAAGGAGGGAAAATTCCAGAGGTGAGGTTGAGATGGGAAGTTGGTGTCCGACCGGATCGAAGTCACGATAGCGCAAATGGTAGAGAGCGGCGTATTTAGCCGTGAGTTCGAATCCCGCTTGTGACACTGACTTTTTTTCTCGACCAATGCCTTTCATAAAAATATTAATTAATTTTTTCATTAGCTTGGGGGTACGAGTCGGCCCCTCGGGTCTTGGTCGTCCACCCTGCGTAAAANATATATATATCATAAGTTTGGTAAAAGTGTAGAGTAAGTGTACCTATTTCCACGATAGTAGATATATTAAAAAGTGGCGTCAATTGGGAAATATCAAGTTTTGTAATTGCATAGAACCAAATTCCACAATATTTTCAATATAATTTTATACTTTTATATAGTGAGCCATTTTAGGGTCATCCTTGGTTCTCAAAAACTTCTAAAAACCGAACAAAATAAGAAGCATTATTGGACAAAGTTACCATATAAAGGGAAAATAAAGGGGAAAGTATATAAAAAGTGTAGATCATACAGATATGTACCGTACTACCATCCAAGACTATCCAATAATAATAAAAAATAAATGTTACAAATATAATCCTGTAACATAATAAACTTTTTTTAGTAACAACGGGAGGCTACCCTAGTGGGATAGCCGATATCACTGAAACATTTTTGGGAGATAGTAAACTAAAAATATTAGAGAGTCGTTCAAGCTTTCTTGCCGATGAGTCCTAGGAGCCGAGGAAAAATATATTTAAATTAATTTAAATATAGTTTATTGCCTTAGTTGTGCACGTACGTCGTAAAATTACAAGTTACTTTAAGGAAAACACGTGGTTTTAGGGTATAGAAAGACGAATATCAACGTTGTTTCTTGCTAAGAAAATATTTTAATTTTGATTTGAGATCGCCTGTTTGTTTACACGTTGAGAAAATTAAAATTTCAATCTTCAACATACAGGGTGTTCTTTTTAATTGGCCAGATGAATTTCTCTTGACCAAATAACGATATAAAAAAATGCGTGTTTAATATTTTTTAGCACATTTTCAAATTTTGGAGTTTTAGTACATTTACCTTTTTTTGGAGAAAAAATATACAAAGTACCTGAGATCCAGTTTAAATTCAAAATTTCAAATATACCCTATACATGCTGATACATAATTTTAAAGGTTTTTTTTGCCGAAAACAATGGTGCAATCGACGTTAAAATGGTAAAAAAATGACAAAGTTATGACAAAAAGTCTTGAAAAACGCATTTCTTTGGTTTAGTTGTTAATTCCAATAATTTCCTCCTTTACTAATTTAATGCCTTTAATGTTTACTTCCAAATTCACTAGTATTCGTGGTCCTTTTGACCAGTAAATATCTTTCAATTAATTAAGGTTTTTCGTTGAGATAAAATCACGAGCATGATTCGAACCTACGATCTTCGGCTAAATACGCCGCTGCTCTACCACTTGAGCTATCGTAACCTCGATCCACTCAGACACTAACATCCCATCTCAACCCCACCTTTTGAATTTTCCCTCCTTTTTGCCATTTTTCCAATGTCGTGTAATCTATTTGATTCTCGGCGACAAATGAAATGGCCACGGAGAGCTTTAGTGAGGGTATACTTCATTTTAACCTATTAAATTCACTAGTTTTCTTGATCCGCTTGACCAATTAATATCTTTCAATTAATTAAGGTTTTTAGTTGAGATAAAAATGAAAAATGGCAAAAAGGACGGAAAATTGAAAAGGTGGGGTTGAGATGGGAAGTTAGTGTTCGAGTAGGTCGAGGTCACGATACCCCAAGTGGTAGAGCAGCGGCGTATCTAGGCAAAGATCGTGGGTTCGAATCCCGCCCGTGACACTGACTTTTTTATCTGAATTTAAAACCTTAATTTATTGTTTACATTCATTACATTGTATCTTTGCACAAGGCAGGTAGTTGGAGCATGAAATGTGATTAATAAATAGCCAACCAAATGAATGTTTTTAAAAAAATCTTTTTGCCATAATTTTGTCATTTTTGACCAATTAATAAAATCCGATTGCACCATTGTTTTTAATGTAAAAACTGTAAAAACCTTTAAAAAGTTCAGTCAGAATGTATAGGGTCGTATTTGAGATTTTTATGTTGAACTAGGCCTGAGGTACCCTGTATAGTTTTTCTCCAAAAAATAGGTACGATTTTGAAACTAGACTAAAAAATATAAACACGTAGTTTTTATTTATGTATGTTTTTCGGATTTTTTTATTTAAACGCTGTTAGATGCGGATCTTATAAAATATTTACAAAAAAACATAATTTTGTTTTAATTTGATGTTTTTGGCTGCTCGTACTTTTCATATAATAACGACGGTAAATATAGAAATTTTCTTTAAGGCAATATTTTATGGTTTGAAAAATCGATATAGGACAGATGAGTATTTCCCATGTCTTAGAGTCTGTTGTGCTAAATTTGACGGGAATGTAATGGAAGTACTTGATAAGATCCGCTTGTGTTTACATGCTATCAGCACTGGCGAATCTCTCGTCTGAGGCATTGTTGCTACCTGGTGGAACTATGGAAACTCGACATCATCCAGATGTTATCAATTCCCTACATGTTCATACTACTCACATTCTATTTTAATTTTTATTGCAAACAAACTCGTCGATTATAATGTTGAAAATGAGGGATTTTTTCAATGTTCAGCGTGTAGGAAGCGACTGACGGACATTACATTTTCAGTATAAATGTTTAGACCGTTGTCATTTTATTTAGAATAGCGCTATTGATAAATGTTTGAGTAAAAATCATTAATGAATTAACATGGAACATTGTCTTGTTTGTTTCGCATTGCGCTGGATAAACGCGTTATTATTTTTAAACAATTTTCCGATTCATCTTGATTGACGTTTTTCGCTTCGTGTTGAAGTAGAGTAAATCCATGTCGCACCCAACTTCATTTTTCTCGGCCACAGTTTCGCCAAAAAATACGCTTTCCCTCACTTTCCCTTTTTTTCCCTTCCTTTGCCGTATGATTTTCCAGGGGAAACCTTGCTTCCGATATATATTTGTATTTGATTTGACGTGACGTGGCTCTGAGCCGGACGTTGCAGCTGATTGCGACACATGCCACTTCAATACACCGGGTCATTTTTCAAAGACTGTTTCATGAAAAGTGATCAATGGCCATTTTTCCACTTTTTCCATGTTTGCCCCCCCCCACCTGCGCTTTAATCCCGGAAGTATGGTACATCCTGAATTGGCACTGTATCCATGTCAGTTGCCCATAAACGTGATATAAATATTATTTATAAACATAAAATAAATTGTTCTTTCAAGAAAAGTAGTCCACATTTTAAAAAGGAAACATCGTTCCACAATTCAATGTGAACAACTATTATACAACAATGGTATAAATGGAAAAATATTGATTTAATTAAATGAGAAAATATAGTTTTTCCTAGTGTAATACACTGTATAATTGTTATCTTTCTAATACGTTGGTTGTGACACATGAAATATGTTTTTCTAAGTCAATAAATATACATAATTGTCTACCTACCAAAAATATATTTTGAGCTCATGGGTGCTCATAGGTTTAATGATTTTAAACCGATTTTTATTTTTTAAGTATCTGAAAACAAAGATTGGTTGTTTTCTTTATCAAAATAAATTGACATGCAAAAATAGAAGTCTAAATAAAAAGCAAATACTTTTGTAAAACGTATAAGAAAACGGTATTTATTACTCTTTCAATGTAAGGTCTAGGTTGAGATAAAAAAAATCAGCGTCACGAAAGGGATTCGAACCCACGACCTTAGGTTAAATACGCTGCTGCTCTACCACTTGAGCTATGGTGATTTCGATCCACTCGGACACAAACTTCCCATCTCAACCTCATTATTTGTAATATTTATAATTATTTATGACAATTTCTTAACGCTAGTTTTTAAAAACTTTGTACGTACTACAATTAATTAAGGTTTTTAGTTGAGACGAAAAAGGCTAATGGCACGAGAGGGATTCGAACCCACGACCTTCGGCTATGTACGCCGCTGCTCTACCACCTGAGCTATCGTGACATCGATCCACTCGGATATCAACTCCCATCTCAAATCCCCTTATGAGTTTTCCCTCCTTTCACCATTTTTCAAATGTCGCGTAATCGGTTTGGATTCTCGACAACAATTGAAATGGCGACGGAGAGCTTTAGTGAAGTGTACTTCATTTTTAAATCATTAATTCACTACTTTCGTGCTCCGCTTGACCAATTAATACATGACAATTAATTAAGGTTTTTAGTTGGGATGAAAAAAGCTAATGGCACGAGAGGGATTCAAACCCACGATGGGTTGAGGTGGGGAGTTGATGTTCGAGTGGATCGAGGTCACGATAGCTCAGGTGGTAGAGCAGCGGCGTATCTATCCGAAGGTCGTGGGTTCGAATCCCTTTCGTGCCATAACTTTTTTCATCTCAACTAAAAACCTTAATTAATTGTCATGCATTAATTGGTCAAGCGGACCACGAAAGTAGTGAATTTGTATGTATTGATTTGCCCTTCACTTGGACAATTGCTAAATGCTTCTGGCAAACCAAAAAGAAAAAAGTTTTTGAAAATTTATTATATTATATTAAGTTGGTGGTGGTTGTTGGCTTCGATTCACATATTTGGGTCTATCTAATGTAATCAAACATCAAAATCTAAATCCATAAAAGTAGGAGGCAAAAATCTAATAAATCAAATTATATAATTTTGGAATATTGTGACCCTATTACATTATCATTTAAGTATAAACGATATCGCAGTTTAAAAGAAGATAAATTCCCTAGTAATTGCATAATAAATCATTGTCCAAGTATGCATTAAATAACTAACCTATCTTATCTTCTTTCAAGTGTTATCGTGCGTTTTCTCTATTGTGGAGAGCCCTGTTTGTAAACTACATTTAGTACATATATAAAAAACAAAAAACAAACAAAAAAACAGTTCCGTTTTTGGGCTGATCGTAATAGTAGTGCAGGTAGAACATGACTGTTTCAAAAATTCCTTTGGGTGAGTACCAAGTGACTAAAGATGGAAAGGTCATCAAGTACTGTTTGGAAAACATCACAAGCCAGGTGAAAATGGACGAGGCGCTTGAACACATGATAAACTACTTTTTACCCAGAGAACCCCTCTCAAAATATTTAGGTAAATATAATATTGTAAAAATTAGGTGTTTTTAAGATTTAATGGTTGGCAGATGTGTGTAGTGACGAACCATCGAAAAACAGCGTTAAAAAACTTTGGGCTGAGGCTTTACAAGATGGGCATGCTATCGGGGCATACTTGCTGAACAGCAACGGTACCATAGGAAGGCTTATTGGGACGAACATAATAATAGTTTCGAATAAAAACGCACCACACGACGAGGTACGTAGGGTGTATTATCTCCTCGTTTTCTTATATTAACATTATATTTTGTTCCAACTCAAGATTCTACAATTAGAAGGCGAACAATTCCAAATAATTTTCAAAACGTTCAAGTCGTTGATGGAACGTGTCGACGTCTACGATAGGTACGGCGTGGACGAGTACCTGGAGGGATTGGGACTGTCCGTACATCCGGAATACCACGGGTGCAACTTGGGATATAGGATTTTGGAAAGCAGGGAGAAACTCTGCAAGGCACTAGGTCTTAATGTGGCGGTGACGATGTTTACTGCAGCCTCGTCCCAACACATAGCGAGGAAACTCGGCTATGAGACCCTCGTGGAAATAGACTATGATGAAGTGAAAATTGAAGGGCGGTACCCTTATCGTGGGATATGGGAAAAAATGAAAGAAAAGAAATTCACTCTTATGGCACTCGAATTTAAATGATGATCATTAAATACTTATTAATAAATGCATTGTCGTCAGTTGGTTTTATTTACCAACCATCTTACATTTAATTAAGAATTAACTTATGCATGTAACAGAAACAAAATAAATCAGCCGTATATATTTTTTTAACTTTAATTAAATTGCATTGAAAATATAACTAATTCACTACTTTCGTGGTCCGCTTGACCAATTAATACAAGACAATTAATTAAGGTTTTTAGTTGAGATGAAAAAAAGTTAATGGCACGAGAGGGATTCGAATCCACGACCTTCGGCTAGATACGCCGCTGTTCTACCACTTGAGCTATCGTGACCTCGATCCACTCGAACACCAACTTCCCATCTCAACCCCACCTTTTTGAATTTTCCCTAGTTTTTGCCATTTTTCAACTGGACTTTTTTTCTTATGTTAAATTTTGTACTAAAACCAGCACATGTGTTTAATTGAAAGCTTGGTAGGGGCAACTTTTGTGTCAGCGTCATATCTTTTTGTATTTATAGAGCCAAGAAAATCATAATTAAACTTCAGACAAGAATCTCAGAAACGCATTAAAATTTATGCTCTAACAGATGTACTTCGTTTGTTAAATTTCCAATAAAAAACAATTTAATGTAATAGGATTTTTAATTTTTTTATTGATATGATCAAATTTACAGTACCTTTATTTGTAATTTAAAACTTTAATTAACAGTAAACAGGAATGAAAGAACGTTCACAATTTTAAAACCTATGATTATTATTTTTTACATATTTGATACATATTATACTATCTATATATTATAATATATTAAAATACCTATATACAAAACATTACTGGAAAGTTTGACGAATAAACTGACTTTTCATTCTAATTGACCTTATCCCTAGTAATTTTTGAATATATTTTGTATTAATGAATGCTATTACTAATTATATTAAAGACAATACATGGATATTAAACTAAAATATTGATTTCATTTTACTTTATCTGTATATATGTATGTTACAGAAGTTTAGTATTTAACATTTAATAGCCTACGGGTATGTGTCCGGCATGCAGAGAAACTTGGGTTGATGCATCTCTCTTATTTGAAGTGATCAGTTCCTTGGCTCCATATAGAGAGCGAGTAGGCATGTTACCCGATATGAGAATTGCGCTTGAGGACGTAAAATATTACATAGGCTTGTTTTATTGTATACAGGGTGTTACGTTGTTAAATATCAATACTGCCCTGGTGGATTCATTAAATAAAACGTAGTTCAGTACCACCAGAACGAGGTTTCTATTTTAGCTCTTTCCTGAGATAATAACATTTTTGTGATTTTAGTGTACAATCCATTTTTTTGTACATAAAATCGTAATTTTTCACCTTTAGCGTCATTAAAATACAAATTTGACTTTATTTTGCAAACTACATTAAATTCTTCTTAAAAATCTATTGAAAAATTCGTGCTTCCGAATACTTAGTATCCACTCAAAGAATAACAGATGACAAAACTCATACATATTTTTTTTAAATATTCAATATATACATATTGGATATAAGGATATGTATAATATGGATTGGATCGATTGATATACATATCTCCAGATGTCACATACTTACCCCAGAGTACTCGATATTCCTCGTGGCGGGGTTAAATCACCCCGTTCCTTTCATGCTAATAAATTACATTCCTTCCAATAAATTAACATAAAATCAAATACAGACACAACACAAACACATATACATTTAAAAATCCTATAGACCTGAGATACCGGAACAACGATCTGTGCCCGCTGCCGTGCCCCAAGACTACGCACAGGTCCGATGATATGCCAAAATATTGTCAATATACATGAATATAATTGAAGAGGTGCTCGTTATTCTATTCTTACAGAACGGCCACCTACGCGGTCGCTTTCCGGCCAGAAATGCGAAGTCTTGTCAGTATGGCCTTTTCCCTTTTCGAACCGTTCTCCGTGGATCAGGGACCGACTTCTTTTATAACCTGCCACAGTTTGGCAGGGTTATTTCTATTTCTTCTAGCACAGCGGTTTTCCCATTCTCTTTTCACAGAGATTGAAATTAGTAGTTTTAGGTCCGCTGAGCGTATAGGTTGGGAAGCGTCGTGGTGCTTTCCAGCGGCTACTTTTCCTGCCCTGTTTTCTTCTTCGTTCCCGGCTATCCTGTTTATTGTAAATAAATCAACAAAATGTAATCCAGATGCTCTGGACATGTAAACACTAACAATTGTATTAACCAATGTTATGTTTATTTAAATAATGTAATTAGTGATGTAAAATTGTAATAATTGTATTTGAGACGTTAAAGAATATTGATGTTAATTGTAATTTATTTAGACCTTTATGAAAGCTCTAACTTGTGGAGGGAGGAGTTATATCAAATTATTGTTATTTTTAAATCGTGGTAAAGTGCATAAGTTACACTTTCCCACGGATATAAGACACGTGTAGACGATATTCGTAGAAACTGTGAGCAGCATTAAACTGCATTTTCTCACTCTCCCAATCTAACTCGTCACAACGAGATATCTATTATTATTACTCACTCTTTGTCGACACGTAGAAGTAGAACGTTTCAACTGTTGTATTCAGTTAGTTAAATAAAAGTTCTTTTTAAAAAGACTTCCGTTGATTTGCCTGAGTTAATATATTGGGTTGTCCGGAAAATAATGCAGGATTTTGGTATTAAACAAAAAAAAAGAAACTAGTTACTTTAAAGCAATGTTCTTTAATCAAAATAATNAAACAATATCATTTGGAAGAGGATTAATAAGTGTTGACATTCATACAAATGAGTAATCCTGTAAACGTAAACAGAATATTTTATATAGATTTTTTTAAATGAAAACTTAAAATCCTGCATTATTTTCCGGACAACCCGATATATGTATACACACACACCCACAACAACAACAACAACAACACCCTGTTTGACTATTTATTTACTTCACAAAACGAGGTAATAAGGCAAGACGCATAAAATCGTTAAACATGTAAGTAAGGACAAAAAAGCTTGAGAGAAGAAGTTAAATTCCTCGAAAATAAAAAATAACAACAGCGTGTTTTACAATAAATTTTTTATTCAGTTCCGGCCGTTTGTGTCTAGTAGAAATTAAACTTTGAAACGTACTGGCGTTCCTGTTCGTCCCGAATCTGGTCAAGCACCAGTTTCGCAGCCATTCTCGAGGCTATCTCCTTCGTCCTTCCGTACCCTGAAATATAAGGGAATTATTTAAACCGCGTTTTGAATGCGTTGGTTTTTCAGGGAGGGGCGAAATATTTAGGTACTGATTGGTATTAGGTAAATCATTTTTTATTCATTGTAATAAAGTTGTTATAGTTGTTATAAATGTCAAATCGAACGAAACGATACTAAAAATTAATTTAAAAAGTTGAGTTGAGATGGGAAGTAAGTGTCCGAGTGAATCGAAGTTACGATAGCTCAAGTATCAGTATATCAAGTAGAGCAGGGGCGTACTTAGCCAAAGGCCGTGGGTTCGAATCCCGCTCGTGACACTGAGTTTTTATCTCACCCCATACCTTAATTAATTGAAAATAAAAATAACATCGATTTACTTTGCGTGCGCATTTTGCACGGATTAAGGGACCTACTGACAATCGGTTTAATATAAAAGTCCATGATCTGGCAAATAAAGCGACCGAGAAAGACAAACATACATTTCATCGCTCATGTGAATTTAAAAAAAAACCCATTGGTGGCAGGTATACGACCAAGTATATATCAGGAAGGGGCGCTATTACCCCTCTGAGATACAGCCTAGAATACCCTTCAAGTCTTGGTTCAACCGGGTTACCGGCCTCGACGATTCTGCTTATGAAGACTTCAGTTTAGTCATAACACAATCCCGTACTACATGCAAAAAATAGGTTTAGCCGACAAAAACATCTGCCCTTGTTGAACATAACATGACTGTAGCCGATGCCGAACACATTTTTCTTTCATGTCCCGCGACTTCACGAGGAAGTTGGGAACTTTTCGAGGTGGTTGCCAAGCATGGGCTGCAATTGCCCAATGAAATGTCTTTTCCTGCAAAAAAAAGGTCGAATTTGTATATGTTCGATGCTATTGCAGGAATGACATTCATGCATAATGAATTTACAAAAAAAAAAATTAAAATCATATTGCCGAAATGGTTAAGAAAAAAGCACACTAGATGAATGAAATCTGTCAAAACAGCCACTGCCCAATAAAATGTCTCTTCTGCAAAAAAAATGTCGAATTGTATATGTTGGATGCTATTGTAGGAATGACATTCATGCATAATGAATTTACAAAAAAAAATTAAAATCATATTGCCGAAATGGTTAAGAAAAAAGCACACTAGATGAGTGAAATCTGTCAAAACAGCCACTGCCCAATAAAGTGTCTCTTCTGCAAAAATAATGTCGAATTGTACATGTTGGATGCTATTGTAGGAATGACATTCTTGCATAATGAATAAACAAAAAAAATTAATATCATATTGCCGAAAGTTTTAAGAAAAAAGCATACTAGATGAATGAAAATCTGTCAAAACATGAATTCAAAATGAATTGATCCTTACGTTTTTAATCAAAGAAACCTAAAATTAAAACACATATAAGCAACGGTACTGTTTTAAATCATTTTAAATATGGATTTTACATAAAATTAGTTTTACAATATTTACTGTTATCAATATTATATTGCTATTCTCCGATATGTGTATATACGTATCTTTATAACAAGAAGGCTTCCTTGTAAAAAATATTTTTTAAACTTTTCCTTTGCCATAAAAATTATCATTAAAGATAGCAATTTAATTGATTATAATTTTAATCAAAGGTCTTGGTGTATATGAAAATGCAAGTGTGACGAGCGGGATTCGAACTTTTTTCGAATTGTTAATAGTAATTTAAGTTGAATTTATAGCTAAAACCATATTATGATTATCATGCATCAAAGAAACCACAGACTCAAGTACTTACCGACTGCATTGAATCCGAGTGCTTTGCACCTGACTGCGTTTCCAGATGACTGTATCAGAGGTATGAAGAACGGTGGTCGTGCGTTTTCAGCGGAGCAGACGGCCTGCAGCTCGTTTCCATATTCGACCGTCTCACAAGACAGCATCAAGCCCAATTCTCGTCTGAAATAAGTTAATGTTTTCTATTAAGACCATGTACGCCAAAATTAATTTAGAGTTTAATTCCTATATTCGGTAAGCTGATAATTTTATTATGATTAGACAAAAGAGGTGGATTCGTGATAAAGCAAATAATTATTTCATAAACATAGATATTTTTTTTTAATCTTGCCAAACTTAAAACAGGTGGACGGAATTTATAAAAAAATTGGGAAATGAACTACCTGATATAGCAAGACCCTCTGTATGAACGATAATTTGCAAGTGTGAGGAACATAGTGAGAAACTGGTAGAAAAAGAAAAATATATACGAAGAACTATTAGATTACATCTTACGCAAAGCCACTTTGAACTGAAGAATTCATGTAAATAATGCTTCAGGAAAAATTAATATTTGGAACCTCGAAAAGTCATGCAGTTTGTCATGTTCAGTTGCTGTCCAATATGTGGTGAGTAAACAAACAAAAACAGCACTGCAGTTGAAATATGTTGACAAAAACTTGTATCTCTAGAGGTCGTTTCTCATCATGTTTAAAGCTCTATTTTTGTACATCAGACGCTTAACGTACCACTGTATCTTCAGTATGTCCTGGAAATAAACAAGGAGAGGCACTGGAAAAAAACACTCCTCGGGAAGTAGCGAAATGCCGAAAAACACGTTGACCAACAATAGAATGATAAAAATGATTGGAAATGAGTGTTTTTTTTACCAATGAACTTTTGCAATTTTTGTACTATTTGGTACTGTAAATGTCGCCATAACTAAGCATTGCAGAATATGATATACAATATGCAATAATTTATATATGTTTCGCAAAGATACATTTTTATTAGCCAGAAGGTTTTGCCACTGCGTATGTTTTTAGGTTGTAAATTAAGTATTGTGAGGCACTTCGATTGGACTTGACCGAATACTTTAAACATGGTTTGTTTGATGACGGATAAAGTATTTAAATTATTTTATTTTGTTGTTAATCGTTTTCTGCACTTTTTGGAAAGTATGTACATTATTTTATTTTTTTAATTGTTAATTTTATATTATTTATTTTTATATATTTTTATATTTTTTAATTTTTAATAAATAGGCCCTGATGACGGCACTATAAGTTGCCGAAAGATTGGTGCATCCAACAATGAGTCTTTTCCTTTCGACACCTGTCTAATGACCTCCATGAAACTCCACACAAATTATTATATTTTATTTCTTGCTATTTGGACAAAATATACATTGTGCAAATGGCAGTTATAAACAAATCTGATAGACCTGTCAGACCTGGAAGCAGTGGGGAGAGAAACCAACCAGTGCTGGAACTCTTTTTTACTTAATTGGGCGGATTGTAAGGGTGAGACATTGAGGAATGAGTTAGGGCTAGTGAGTTAGGGTGGAACGATAGTTTAGAGTGGAAAGTGAAGAAGCGTATTCGGATAAGATCTTTCACGAAAGGGATTTTAAGATCTTTATGGATCGTTTGATTGGTGACATAGAAGGATGCAATGAGGATACGGCGAAGAACTTTAGATTGAAAAGGTTAAATTCTTTGGATAATGGATGATTTGGCCGAGCCCCACAGTTCGACTCAGTAGGTCAAAATAGGTCTGATGAGTGTTTTGTAAGCGATTAGTTATGTATGCTTAGTGTTGATTTTGGTCCAAGTAGGTGTCTGAATAGTCCATATCTTTTGATAAGTTCTTGCCGATTTAAGTATTACGTATCATTATTAAGTAATAACTAAGTAAAGCCCATGTTAGCGGACTTGGTTCGATGGTGGTAGTATCTTGTAAATGTGCATTGGTGGACAGGTTTGACGTTTGAGCGCAAACGTAATTTGTTGGCTTTTTTGTTCGTTTAACCTGATCTGTCACAAATTGCACCAGTCGGTAATGAGGTTCAGGTGTTGTTGGATGGCTTCTGTATGCTAGGATAGGATTGGAGTGTGTTGATAAGATTGCGGTGTCGTCCGCGTAGGTTGTAATGGGTTTGGATGTTTAGGTGTGTCAACAGTGTAGATGGTGTAGACGATTGGGCCTAGGATACTTCCTTGTGAAACGCCAGCTTTGATTAGGTTTAATTATTATTTTTCAATTCATTAACTTTATGAAAATCAAATCTAATGTTTGATAAACTTACTCTTCGCTTGAAAGAACGGGCATGGATTGTGGGAGCGCTCCTCTTCTTATTTTATTGAGCATTATTCTTATAACGTGGGCAGCTGCGTCCTGCTTAGCTGCGCTTTTCCTCTTCCCTTTTCCTTCGGCTGTAAAATTTATTGAGATAAATAAATAATCAAATCTATTAAAACGTGATTACCTGATATTTGGTCAAGAGTGCAGGAGTAAACGTACTGAGTAATCCATGGATTTTTCACCTCGGAAACTTCTTTGTACTCTAGAAGGAGGTCAGCCCTTTTAGCATACTCTCTCAGGAAAGACGCTGGAGCTTGGAACATTTCGTCTTTTATAAAACTTATCGTCTGGAGTTGGGAAAAAATCCGTTAAAAACATAGATTGATGATTAGAAAATTAAGTCAACTTACACTGTCTTCAATGTTGTTCGGGTCTTTGAATTGAGTTTCATGTTGTTCTACAATTTTTTCGGGTACAGAGGGTTTTACGTAAGACTCAGCCTTGATCATCCTTCTGAAAATCTTTCGAGCTAAAACAAAATATAAACACGCATTGTAACAATTAATTATTAATTATTGTTATTTTGAAATCAAAACCAACTCATTCTCTCCATCTCATTCTCTCTTACGTTTTCTCTATCTTCCGATCCTTCGATCTCGCCCTCTCACCATCACTTTCTCGCTGCTTTTTTAAAATTATTTTTCTCTTAAACTCAGGACCCCATCTATCGCTCTCTCTTTCCCCATCACTCTCTCTCAGTATATCGATCCTTATGTCTATCATAATCGCCGTCATTCTTTCTCACTCAATCTCTGTCTCTCCCTCTCTCTCTCTCTCTCTCTCTCTCTCTCTCTTTCTTTCTCACTGGCGTTCACAATGAATCACCCAATCTCTCATTGCTTTACTCTCCCTTCACTTTAAAAAAATTTTCCCTTAAATTCTGACACACCACCACACCACCATTCTCTCTCTCTCACTCACTCTCTCTCTCTCTCTGTCTCCCTCTCTCTCCTCTCTCTCTCTTTCTCTTTCTTTCTCACTGGCGTTCACAAAGAATCACCCACTCTCTCTTCCCTTTACTCTCCCTTCACTTTAAAAACCTTTTCACTCCAAACTCTGACACACCACCATTCTTTCTCTCTCTCTTTCACTCTCTTTCTCTCTCTCTGTCTCCCTCTCTCCTCTCTCTCTTTCTCTTTCTTTCTCATTGGCGCTCACAATGAATTACTCACTCTCTCTTCCCTTTACTCTCCCTTCACTTTAAAAAAAATTTCCCTTAATCATTGACACACCACCACACCACCATTCACTCTCTCTCACTCTCTCTCTCTCTCTCTCTCTCTCTCTCTCTCTCTCTGTCTCCCTCTCTCTCCTCACTCTCTCTCTTTCTTTCTCACTGGCGTTCACAAAGAATCACCCACTCTCTATTCCCTTTACTCTCCCTTCACTTTAAAAACATTTTCCCTCAAACTCTGACACACCACCATTCTCTCTCGCTCTCTCTCTCTCTCTCACTCTCTCTCTCTCTGTCTCCCACTCTCCTTTCTCTCTCTCTTTCTCTCTTTCTTTCTCATTAGCGTTTTCAATGAATCACCCACTCTCTTTTCCCTTTACTCTCCCTTCACTTTAACAAAAATTTCACTCAATCTTTGACACACCACCACACCACCATTCTCTCTCTCACTCTCTCTCTGTCTCCCACTCTCCTCTCTCTCTCTTTCTTTCTCACTCGCGTTCACAAAGAATCACCCACTCTCTCTTCCCTTTACTCTCCCTTCACTTTAAAAAAAAATTTCCCTCTAACCTTGACACACCACCACACCACCNTTTCTGCTCTCTTGCCATCCCACTTTCCTCCATCTATATCGTTCTATCTACAATTTTTTACCTCTTTTTCTACTAAGTTCATCAATCTCTCTCACCCCCTCTCTCACTCTTTTGTAATCTCTTTATTCCTCTATATCTTTATCTTTCTAATGGTGTACAATTGGTAATTTGGGTTGTGGGTGTTGAGGTTTAATCATACATAAATGTTTGAAGTTTTGAAGCTTTCATTAGATTTCACTTTACTCGCCGGTTACCGAAGAGATTTTTAATGGATTTCATGGATTGAATAGACGTTATTCCACCGACAGAACAAGAGAAATTGGCGAACAAAACGAAGATAGCAGGTGTTGATCAGATTGTCGCCAACAAATGTTTGTTACGAAATTTAAACTCCTCGCAAAACTTTGCAAACTGGATTTGCATTTAGTTTCGAATTTAAACAGAAGGTCTTCCGCGAACAAAAAAGAAAAACTTAATAACAAAAACTGCCTCTTTTATAAATTATTTATCAATTTAGAAGGATGAAAGACGGTTACCGAGATGGCATAAATAGAGAGTTAGTCGGCGGCGGAAGCGGCGGAGGCAGCGTGTTGTGCCCAGTGAGAACGAGACCGCTTGCTCCTAATTGCTCTTGCATAACTTGGACTAGGCCAAACGTTCCTCTGCCCGAGGTGTTTTTGCTCCAGGATCGCACATGTTGGTCTACCCTTCCTGCTTTTTACTCGTGAAACTCCTAAATCGAAGTTTATTCGGAACAAAATGATCTTTCACATGACATCAGAGGTTTCACGACCACACCGCTCGCTAGTTATCTACTTATAGGATTTGTGTCGTTTTAGTGTAACTTTTACTTCATTGGAAAATATCCTGACTTTATTATTTCAATAACTCGGATTTAATTTTAAATTTGTTTAAGGAAGAGCAGCCTTGCAGCAGCTTGGTAATTTCCATAATTTTGGTCTGTCTATCCTAACATGTCAGGCGAGTTTTGACATGTTAGCATTTTCACAGGTGAGTTTGGTATAACATTTGTTATCATTTTTACATTTAAATATTATTATATGATTTGTACCATAATGTTAGAGATAAAGTCAGTGTCACGAGCGGGATTCCATTTTTGGGTTTGGTTAGGAAGTTAGTGTCCGAGTGGATCGAAGTCACGATAGCTCAAGTGGTAGAACAGCGGCGTATTTAGCCGAAGATCGTGGGTTCGAATCCCGCTCGTGACACTGACTTTTTTATCTCAACCAATACATTACTTAAAGATTAATTAATTTAAAAGAATTTATATCGGACCACGAAATTTAATGAAGTTAGCTATAAAAATCAAGAAAATCTGAAGATATTTCTACAAACGTTGTTATGAGGAAGAAGTTGAAATCCGAAAATTCTAAACTGCTGATAATTGTGCTGATAATAAAAACGTGATGATAAACCCTGGATAAACGAAATTTCGAAGAAACATTAAAGATGGAATTTGGTTGATCCGACCGTTAGATCGGAATAGTGGCTGAGTTTGTCTGTCAGGATCGTTTTTTTGTATCCCTTTTTTAGTAGTGAATTTGATATAGTAGTTAGTAAAGTTTTGTAGTTCAACTAAAAGTTTTCTTTCTGAATACACTGGACGGCGCTAAATCCTAAAACTACCTTACGATCACATTTTAAAATTGTCAGACCCATGATCGCCATGCAGTTGCAAAATAAAACACATAAAGGCAGGGGAAGTATAAGAAAAAGTCCACAGAATAGAAAATTGAGGACCACTGGTATACATGCTAAAAGAATGGCGGTGATTGATGAATTAAGGATCTATTGGACAGTGAAAAGCAAATATCAAAAATGCCGCCCATACAAAATTTTCGAAAAAGGTGAAATTACTGACATGACTAAAACTATGTCAGATTTATCAGAGAAAAATTATCCTCTGAAAAAATTTTAAACATAATTATTGAAAAAAGATAAAATTGAAAGGAAAAATGAAAATTAGAAAAACCTGTAGCTTTAATATGGTCTAGTGACCGCTCAATGACAGGAAATGATACGGTACGGGCATAAAGTGTTTCTATTGTGAGCACCACATAGCCCTTGGCTCTGGCACAACTATCTTTCAGGCTGAATCGTTAGCCATAGAAATGTGTACACATAAAATAAATAAAACTATCTCTTTTGTGCATAAAAGTCAAAGTGATAACCAGACAGTTCTAAACGCACTCTAATTGGACGAGATCAACTAAGAACCTATCTGGAACTGTATGAAAGCAAGGTAAAATCGCTAGCGTGGAAGAAACTAACAGACCCAAATTCCTTTTTAGGGCATGAATTATAGCCATATAAAAAATAACTCTAATCTTGGGTATCTTAATAACACGCAAATACTGGGAACGTATTCTAGGCAAGAGGCAAGTAAAAGCATTAATTGAAAAAATCAAGTATATTTGCGCGACAAGTTCCAAAAAAATACCAATTTAAAAAATGGGACAATCAACAGATGACCAATGTCAACTATGTCAAGAAGAAACACAACAGAACAACAGACGACAGGACTTATCCTGTGCAATAGCTAGTAAAATGCTGTACAATCTAGGAAAAGCATTATTATGCAATACAGACGTATATTCCACATCTCATGAGGAGGTTTTAGTACTTCATCCATGACACACAAATTTTCCAGGAATTTTATGAGCAGAGATCAATCTCAATATTTGAAACCTTACGTTTTAATGGGGAAACTACCTAGATTCCAAATGAGAAAAACACTGGAGAAAACGTGAACATAAAATAAAATTCCTTTCATTTAAGTTACATGGCATGCTAGACATGAAGTTATGGGTGAGGCTAGTAAACTACCCTAGTAATGGTAAGTTCGAAATAGAAACCTTTTGTAAAATGTCAAAAGACTAATTGATTTAAAAACCCCAGCAGGCAAAAGTCAGTCAGTCTTAGTCAAAAAGTTCTCGTAATGGAGAATGCACTTTTAAAGCTACTGAAGTAGTAGTGAGCTAAAGACTATGCGTGAGGGAGCCCGATTGTTCAACTGATGAACTACTGTGCCTAAACTTTTTTTAGCTGCCTCAACAAATCTATCTATACTGGTTTTGGTAGTGGGTTTAATGTGGTAAGGGCCTGTAAAGGAGGAGGAAAATAATTTATGTTTATGATTGACAACGTTTACATAGCAGTGTTACTTTTGAAAGGCTTAATTTGAAACCACCTTTGGTCCTACTGTTGTTTCGACGTTTGGCTCGTTTTCATTTAAAATGTCGCTCTTTTTTGAAACGGTCGACCGTACCGACCAACTTTGCCCGTCGACCGCAACACGGGCACAATGGCCGATTGTTTTCCAGTTTTCACCGTCTGGCAAAAGTTACTTTGTTATTAGAATAAATTCGTTACAATGGCAGGCGAGTGGCCTCTACAATAGCAATTCGGCCGCAATTTCGGCGTGCCCGGGGACTGTCTTCACGCGGCGTTTGAGGCAAACGGAACCACTGGGCCGAAAATTTGGCAAATTATACTTTCAGTAACAATCGCGGTTAAATGTTGAATATCAAAGACTATGTCGCCTTCCGTTCCAGCGCTCTATATGAATACAATCGACGATAATCATGTTTTAAATTCATTTTATTACAATTTACAATTGCTAACAATCATTGTAATAAAGCATATGAAACTGTGAAATGATGAAAAAAACATATCATATAG